ACATTTAAAACGTACAGTTTTTAAAAAATGACATTAAACATCGCTATTCATGGCGACGATTTTTGTATTGTTTTATCAACGTAAATCATGAAAATAGTTGTGAAATCCACCGATATCCGCGATCTACCTGGTATTATCATAAACTAGAATATATTTTTAATTCATTTTAATTGAAATCAGTTGCCCCAAGCTGCCCCTGCAGTTTTGGTATCACTTTTTATTTCACTAAGCGCGGTTTACCGACAGCGCGTTGCACCGGCCGGCGGTGCACCTGAACGTGAAAGACTGACTTTTTCTTCATTCGCATTCGCTTTAAACTAAAATTTAAGCACTGTCTGTAATTTAAAAAAAATAAGCTCTAACACATTTACGCAATTTTATAATACCAGCAAATATTTTGGATCCGCCATATTGAATTTGATAAAACAAATGTAAAATTTGATTTCAGAAACCCAGTAAACGTAAGTATACCAATTTTGATTGAAATCGTATCATTTTTCGATTTTCAGCAAAGTTTTTTAAAATCTAAACGGCCATTTTGGATCCGCCATTTTGAATTTGACACAACCAATGTAAAATTTGAATTCAGAAGCCCAAAAAACATGGGTATACCAATTTGGTTGAAATCGTATCATTTTTCGATTTTCAGCAAAGTTTTTTAAAATCTAAACGGCCATTTTGGATCCGCCATTTTGAATTTGACACAACCAATGTAAAATTTGAATTCAGAAGCCCAAAAAACATGGATATACCAATTTTGATTGAAATCGTATCATTTTTCGATTTTCAGCAAAGTTTTTTAAAATCTAAACGGCCATTTTGGATCCGCCATTTTGAATTTGACACAACCAATGTAAAATTTGAATTCAGAAGCCCAAAAAACATGGGTATACCAATTTTGGTTGAAATCGTATCATTTTTCGATTTTCAGCAAAGTTTTTTAAAATCTAAACGGCCATTTTGGATCCGCCATTTTGAATTTGACACAACCAATGTAAAATTTGAATTCAGAAGCCCAAAAAACATGGGTATACCAATTTTGGTTGAAATCGTATCATTTTTCGATTTTCAGCAAAGTTTTTTAAAATCTAAACGGCCATTTTGGATCCGCCATTTTGAATTTGACACAACCAATGTAAAATTTGAATTCAGAAGCCCAAAAAACATGGGTATACCAATTTTGGTTGAAATCGTATCATTTTTCGATTTTCAGCAAAGTTTTTTAAAATCTAAACGGCCATTTTGGATCCGCCATTTTGAATTTGACACAACCAATGTAAAATTTGAATTCAGAAGCCCAAAAAACATGGGTATACCAATTTTGGTTGAAATCGTATCATTTTTCGATTTTCAGCAAAGTTTTTTAAAATCTAAACGGCCATTTTGGATCCGCCATTTTGAATTTGACACAACCAATGTAAAATTTGAATTCAGAAGCCCAAAAAACATGGGTATACCAATTTTGGTTAAAATCATATCATTTTTCGATTTTTGGCCAGGTTTTTCGAGAAATCGGCCACTGTGCATTGACATGAAAAAGTGTCTTTTTTGTGCCTGTTTTGGGCAGATAAAGTAGCACTTTTTAAGGCAGTTTGGGCCAACTGCCTAAAAAAGACTTTTTTAGGCAGAAAACTGCCCTATAAAGTCTTTTTTAGGCAGAAAACTGCCCTATAAAGTCTTTTTTAGGCAGTAAACTGCCTTATAAAGTCTTTTTTAGGCAGTAAACTGCCCTATAAAGTCTTTTTTAGGCAGTTGTTAATTTTTGCATAATTTTTGTAATAATATATAATATATATAATATATTATATATATATATATATTTCTTTAAAATTGTTTCACTTTTTCATAACAATGGCGAAAAAAATAGCGTATGTGGCTCGCACGTAGTAATTTTTAGGTTCGGATGATTTCAATACTCACTGTCTGTGCGACTTCGGTTCGACTTGACTTGCTTTCGGCTCGTCTTCATCTCACTTAGTCGCACTAACGACAGCTCGTACTGAAAATTACATCCTCACCTAAAAAGTATTACTTTACGTGCTTGCCACATAATATACTATTAGTAAATATGTATAGTTTATTTGTTTTTATTAATTTAGTGATTATGGTTACATTTTAAAATTTATTCTCTATAAATGAATATATTGAATACATATACGATTCTTATTTTAGAATTATAAAATTATTTATATATACCTTATATCTATATTAAATGAATAGGGTCAGTTGGGGTAAATGGGGACAAGAGTTTTTGGAGCTTAATTTACAGTTTTAAAATTAAGTTCAACGTCAATATTTTAACCTCAGATCACCAGCAAGAGGTTTAGAGTATTGCCAAGCTTTTATCTTGACAATTGGCAGCAAGATAAAAAAAGTTATCGCTCAATCCATAAAAACTTGAAAATCAAAGTCAAACTGTTTCAGTATTTTGTCGAGCATTTCAAAGAAAACAGACTTAAAAATCATACCAAAATTTTTTCTTATTTCTTATGACTTCTATAACAGAAATTCATTTGAATTTTGGATTTTTATCAATTTGGTTAATAATGACAAGCTGTCCCCATTTACCCTGAGTTTTCAAATTTTTTGGGGTAAATGGGGACAGCTTGTCATTACTAACCAAATTAACAAAAATCAAAAATTCAAGTGAATTTCTGTTATGGGAGTCATAAGGAATAAGAAAAACATTTGGTATGATTTTTAAGTCTGTTTTTTTTCAAATGCGAGACAAAGTACTGAAATAAAAAAAAATAAAAAAATTTCAACTGGCTCAACTATTATATATCTACTACAAATTTTTTTCAAGTTTTTTCATCCCTTAATACAGTAATATACTAAAGGAAATTTTTTTCTTAAAACTTTCTTAGAAACTATGCTGTCCCCATTTACCCCAAATTTTATGAAATTTTCTAAATCTTGGGGTAAATGGAGACAGGCAGTTTCATGCGTTTAAAGCTTATCTAAATTTTTTTCTGCTGCATAAAATTAATCCTGGGAATGTAAATAACAACTTAAAAAAAATAAACCCGCAAATATTACCTTTTAAAGGAAGAAATTTACGTAATTTGTGAAAAATAGCGATTTTGTCCCCATTTACCCCAACTGACCCTTCATCAGCTGAATTAAATTAATTATTATTTAGACTAATTTAATAAAAAATTATTTATCATTTCGGCGCTCATTATTAAATTGACTGAAAATTATTATATTATTGTTTCTAAAAGCAAATAATTTATTTTCTTTGCCCTTGTTATTTATACGATTCTAATAAAATCCAAATTAAATTTTTTTGAATTTTTTTTCACGTCCCTGAATTTATTCTTGTTTATTTAAAAGAATCGATTCTACGATTGTATTTAAAACTCATGGTCAACTTATTTAATTAGGCACTTGAATTAAGATAATTCAGTTTTATTTTTTAATTTTTTACTTATTATGTTTTCGTATTATTTATAACATTAGGGTACTTTAATATAAATAAAATAATATTAAAAAAATTCATAAATAATAATAATAATAATAATAATAATAATAAAAGAATATTTATCACCTCTAATATTGGCTATAGAATTACAGTAAAAAAAAAACTTTTTTCTAAATTATAAAGAGAAAATGTACGACAAATAAAATAAAAATTTTACGACTAGGAAGCGAAGTCGATTGAAGAGTGGAAGTGTCCAAACGTCCTTAACCGTGACTCAATGTACAAAGTCATGGGAACTGACAGAAAGGAAATTTAACTTGGTAAAAGTAACTTATTGATTTTTTTTATTGTCGAAAGTAAATAAAATTATTGCTATAGAAGGAGTGGAAAAATCTCATCACTGTCAGCCACAGTAGTAAAGATTGATTAAGGCTCTTAAGTAGAAAAATGCGGTTTTGGCCAGACGGCATATATGACCACAATATACACTTATTATTGAGGTATCACCAAAAAATATTAAAACTGTTTTTCAAATTGTACAATTTATTTTCAATGTATACAAAATAAATAAATACAGTTAAAAAAGAAAAAAAAACTTAATAAAAAAATTAATTTTTTCTTAATTAAAAAATTTATAATTTCAGAAAATTCTATATAATTTTTAAATTTCTTGTATAAATCTAGTCACAATGTGTGTAATAAATTCAATTACTTGTTACCGATAAAATTTTTTATTAGTTTTCATTAATTCCTACAAGATCTATAATGTAAAAAGTCGATAATTAAATAATTACAATATTTGTTAATTTAATTATATTTATATATAATTTTTATTATTATAAGTCTATATAAATTTTTTTATTGTAAAATATTCTGTTATGAGCTGTGTAATGTTATTTTATAGTTTTTTGGGTACTCATGTACGAAAGGGCTTGTCCCATCTACTAATAAATAAGTAAATAATTAATTTATAAAATTTGTGTATTGTATGAAATGATCCTTAAGAAAACTATAAAATTTAATTTACTTATGCGAAAAAATTTTGTTTGATGTTTTTAAAAAATTTTAAATTACGTTTGTAACACTGAAAAAAATTTATTTGATTCAAATAATTGGTTACTTAACTATTATCAAATAAATATTTATTTTTATCAAAAAATTATTATTTGAGATGATATTTGTTTCAAATACAGAAATTATTGGTTAAAATACAGTTTATTTAATTCAAAATTTCAAATAAAAATTATTTGGTTCAAGTAAATATATTTATTTGACAATAGTCAAGTAACTGATTATTTAAATCAAATAATTTTTTTTTACAATGAATAATAAAGTAAATTTTATAAAAATTTAAATATAGTACAATGATCATTACAATCATCTCAAAATTATGTACACGGAAAAAAAGATTTATCTGGAACAGCGAAACGTTTTACTCAAGGTATAGGAAAAGTTTTGCTTGTTCCAGTTAAATCTTTCGCTATTCTAGTGAAACCTTTCGCTGCTTTAGATAAATATTTTTTTTCCATCTATAATAAAAAACAAAATTTAACCTAATTTTTCATAATTAACTTACCGAGGAATACGCCTTGAAGAAATAAATCATGTTTTTTCCCGAACATAAGGGTTAGTACATGCAAAATAATAAATAAAAAAAGGGTTATCTTGAAATTCGTGAAAACACTGCATTAATAAACAAAAAAAAAAGAATTCACATATTCAGAAAAATGTTAAAAATTAAATTTTTTGAATTTCACATATACATCTATATATTGTATGAATAAAAGCTTTTCGGAAAAAAATTTTAATCGCAGAGTAACACGCGTTGCGTCGCGGTGCCGCGAGCCGACTGACAGAACGACGGTCTTTCTCTCCTCCATTGGCGTCTCGACGATATTTCTCTCTTTCTCTCTCTCTCTCTCAACATTTCTCTCCATACTCTTTCTCTCTTTCTTCTACCCCTATTCGAGAATCCTTGTGATGATATGTTTTCGAATCCACGTGGTGCGCAAACGTACATGTTCGTATAACTTAATGAGCCGGTGTTATGTTATTATTTAAAATTCTATACGTCTACACTTGAGAAAAAAATCAATGAAATCTGAATGAATAATTTTTATTGAGTTTGTATAGTAGGGAATAAAATTCACGAATGTTTTATATCATATCAATTGGATCAATTAAAAAAAAAAAATTTTTTTTTACTATATTGGATCCGTTACATTGAATTTAAAAAAAAACAATCAGACTGCTAAAAACCCTGATTAAAAAGTTTTAATTAAATCTGTCAAAAGTGTCAAAAAGTTCAAAAATTTTTAAATACTTTTACGAATTAAAAGCTAAAAACGAGGTATATAATTCTAAAACTCTTTCTTTAACAGTTTTTAGGGTCGCTAAGAATCTAAAGTTTTTTTTTCAAAACTTCAAAATGGCGAATCCAATATGGCGGATAAAATTTTTAAAAGAAGTTCGAAAATTCATTTTTTTGCTTGAAACTTTCTATATGAAGGTTTTTAACGTCGCTGATGATGAATCTGAAGTTATTTTTTGAAATTCAAAATGGCGGATCCAAAATGACAGACAAAAATTTTAGAAGAAGTTCAAAAATTCGTTTTTTTGCTTGAAGCTTTCTATATGAAGGTTTTTGAGGTCACTGATAAATTATAAGAAATTTAAAAAAATTTCATTTCTACCACATATAATTTTTTATAGTTTTTAAAAAAATGAAAATATGCTGATATTACTTATGCAATAGATTTAGTATCAGAAAATTACATAAATAACCAATTTATCGTCTTAAGTTGCAATTAACTTTGTATTTTTAACATAATAATGAATTGACTTTTGACAGCTCTATTGGAATCAAAAATGAATTTTTTTTAAAAAAACGCCCATCCGTAAAGCCATTTTTGTTTAGAGCTCTGTCCGTGTTGGCGTGGAATGTCCCTGATATATTTGGAAATAACTCGTTGGGTTAGTGGAAAAAAAAGGACACGTCCGTTTGATTTAGCTATGACGTGTCCTTTTTTTCCACTAACCCAGCGAACTATCCTTCTTAAAGAAAATGAGCTAAATTTGATTTTAAAGAAACATTAATTTTGACACGTAAACTTAAAAGTATATTGAAACAAAAAGAAACTCTTAAAATTAAATTGAAAAAGAATTAAATGATATTGAAAACAAATCGAAATGAATTCTGCAAACAAAATTAAACTTTTTTGGAATAGAAACTTTTCAACGTCGCCCATTTCGGAAGGAATTAATTGGAATTAAAAAATATCATAAATGCTTTCTCTTCAACGGAATTCATAATTTACAATTATATTTGGAATTAAAAATTTACCTTTTTACCGGATTTGAATTCATGACGATTTTCGATTTTTCAAAAATGGGGTTTATGAGCTCATTTTTATCTAGAATGCATATATTTGAAGTTTAAAAAAAAATTCCAGATCTATGTGTGTCTATGTCACAAAATGTAGTGTACAAATTATTTCCAACACGTTTTAATGGATTGTCCTGAAATGTTGTAGGTTTATTGCAGTCATTAATGCCTAAAATCTGACACGAGGATTTCCCAATATACTTATCTACAATATTTTTTTTCACAATTTTTTCAAAATTTGAAAAATTTATTATTTGTCAAAAAATTTTTTTTTATTGTAAATTTAATTCTGTTTGGTAAAAAAAAACTTATTTCTTGCATTAAAACAAATCAATAAACCTATATAAAGTTTATATTTTACTAAAAGCTATAGATTAAATTATTTTTTTAAATTTTTGAAAAAATTTGTTTTTTGTATTTTTTGAAATAACTTTTTCCTATCTATGTACTTGATCGATATTTTTATTTTTAACAAAAAATTGAAATTTTGAATTTTTTTTTAAACTATATAATAATATAAGTGTTTATCATGATGATGAAACTAAATGGTCATGAAAGGAACATAATTTTCAACTTGTTTGTTAAAGTTATTGAGATTTTGGTAGGTGGGACATATATGTATGTCCCATTAGCGTGAAAGGGTTAATAATAGTTAGTTTGTAAAATTAAGTTAGGAATTAAATATTTGTGGTTAGAAGTGTATGCATTTATTTTTTATTCTTAAAATTTAATATAAGTATTTAAAAATTTGTAATTGAATATTATTATTCATTTCAATTTTTCTAATACTAAATTTTTAAAATAATTTTTATCATTAAACTAAAAAAAAATTATTTGATTATTAAATAATCGGTTACTTGACTATTATCAAATAAATATTTACTTGAACCTAATTATTTTCTAGCTGAATTAAATAATCTATATTTAATACAATAATTTCAGTATGTGAAATAAATTCTATTAATTTCTAATTTAATAATAATCGTCCACTAACAAATTATTTGAATCAAATAAATCTTTTTTTCAATGTAGAAGAAGAATTTGAATTACTATTTTTTAACCTTTTGGCTTATAAATTACAAAAATAATGAAGGTTAAAAATAGTATTGACGATTATTTTATGAGACAGAATGATTGACTTAAAAAAAAATTCATTTTCGGGTTTTTGAACGTGAAAATCACAAAATTGTTTTTAACCTAAAAAGTGGTGAGAAATAATTTTTTAAAGAAATATCTGTTTCTCATATCCACAAACCTCATAACAAAGTGGACAATTTAACTTATAATTTGGAGAAATAAATAAACTTTTTGAAAAATTAAAAAAAGAATTATTTTTCGAAAATAATGCTCCACATGAAAATACTTTTATTCTTTACTTGACATTGTACAATCAATATAAATCTACAATAAATTCACTTTAATTGATCGTAAGAAAGTAAATTGTTCAAAATCACAATCAATACTTTTAGACTTTTGAGATGATATTTTTCTTCTAAAAAATGGACTTCAAAATTAATTTAGACAAATACAAAAAAATTTCAATAGAAGATTATTTTAAATGAAATTCAGTCATTTGGATTATATTCTTCATCTGAAGATTCATAGTCAGTGATGAGATCCTCTTTATATTTTTCTTTTTGTTCCTTAATGGGTGCAACTGAATTAGAATGACTTGAAGTTTCCTTCTCAACTTCATCAATTTTTCTTCTTTTCTGTTTATTTTTTTGATTATCCTTATTATTGTTTTTGTTTTCAGATTCGTCATCTCCCATTTCCTCAGAATCTCCACCGCTATTAATTAAATTATGAATAAAAAAAATTAATATAATAAATTGGATAAATAAAAACACGTCATTTAAGTTTCTCTAATTACTTGCTTTTAAAAAAATTTTAAACAATAAAATAGGAAAAAATTAACTTCTTTGTATACAAATATTAGTTTAAAAAAAAAACGAGAAAAATATAATGTACCTTCTCTATGTTTTATAAAAATATAAAAATTTATTTGATATTTGAGAAAAAATAATATTTTTAATTACTTGGAATGTCGACTGTTTTCACTTCTCCTACGACTTCTGCTTCGCCTCCTTTTGCGTCCTTTGGAACGTCTTGGTTTTTTCTTGTCTTGAACTTGATCATTTCTCAACGATTTACGAGAATCTAAAGGTTCATATTTTCGTTTTCTTCCTACAATTTCCACTACGTCAGTTGCAATTCGTATATTTTGTTCAATTTTACCTGTTTATCAGAAATAACTATTTTTAGAACTGTTATAATTTAAAATGATAATAAAAAGATTAAATTTCTTTTTTTCAATTATAAACAAATATTAAATTTTTTTTATTTAATTATTTAAATATGAAAATTTTAAATAGATATTGTAACAATTATTTTGATAAAAGAGATAATAAATTGATTAAATAAGAGATAATTAATTAATTTACCCATAGAATCAGATTGTGATTCATTTTTTGATGCCGTACTGCTAGTTTCGGAGATGTCTTCATATTCACAATTATCTGAATCTTCGTCATGAGAGTCACATTCTTCCATTGACTGATTAGATTCTGAATGCCGTGCTTTATTTGCATGTTTTTCTGATGCTAAATTTTTTTCCTTTCGATTTGAATTTCCATTTGTATCTGATTTCACTTCACCTTTTTTTTCCTGACTTTTGGAAGTAATTTCTGCATCATTTGATAATCCTTTTCGTTCTGAAAATAAGAATTTTCTATTTATCCATCACATTAAAAGATAACCTTCACTTACTTCATTCTATAATATTTATTTCACATTGATTTTATTTTTGTTTCGGAATTTTTTTTTTTTTTTTTTTTTTTTTTATTAATAAAATTGTTGTATAAAAATAATATTGACAACAAAAAATTTTTTTAATTATTTTAGAAATAGTTGTTAACGTTTATTTATTTGTTCGTCATACTTTTATCATTTGATAATTGTTTGGAACATCCAGGGCATGTTCGATGTGGAGCCATTTTTGAATTTTTAATTTTACTTTAATTTTAATTTTAATTATTCATAGAAAAATTAGGATCACTGTTGCACTTGAAATTTAATGTTTGAATATAATCACTTCACTTAATTTTGCTCTTTTAATATTCTGAATGGGATGATAAAATTTCTGGAATAATTTTATGAAAATGACATTTTGTGTATAAAAAGAAACAGCTGAAAACTTTTAACAACTTCAAGTTCCTCTAAGCCTGCTATTAAAAAATTGACTACCAAATTTAAATTTTATGTCAAATTTGAAATTCAAATTTTTAGTGGAATATTTATCTTTAGATTTAAAAAATTTTGCAGTTAGACATAATAAACGTGAAACTTAAAACAAATTAAATTCTTCCTAGTGTTGTGTTTTTCTTTTTTTTGTATGAATACAATCAAAAAGGTTAAAAAATATTTTTCTTTACGTTAATGATAATAAAATGTAATAATGAACCACTATAAAATAAAACTTAAAATATATTTTAATAACATAATTATTTATTAGAATTTCTACATATTGTTTAAAGAATTTCAATTTATAAGAATTTTGTTGAGTTAATTTGTTAATTTTTCAAAGATTGATATTGAAATATATTTTCAAATTTTACAATTACTATTTTATTTCGTATTGGAGTATTTTTAATTTTCATCAATAACGTATACGAAAAAAATTTCGTAATTTATTCTGATAAAATAATAATAAATTCTTCTTATGTAGACGAGGTAAAATATTTTTTCCTAAATATTTAATAATATTAACAAAATTGTCAGGAAAAAAACTTTTTTCACAGGAAAACGGAAAATATTTTTCGAAAGATTTAAAAAAATTTCGGACAATAATAATAGAATTTTTCTATATCAGTACACTGGCGAAAATAGAATTTAATTAATTTTCATTTATTTTATAATACTCAAAGAGTATTTTAATTTGAAAAATTAGAAAAAAACTTTTATCTTTCTAAGTGGATTGTGAAAAAAAATTAATAATTAGTTTATACGATCGGGCTTCGAATTTTGATTTTAACTCTTAAAATTTAATATAACATATAAGGTTTGATGGTGTATAAAGTTTTAAAAATTCATACTGTTTATAGTTTTAATTAATTATTAAATTTCTATTACTTACAAAAACATACCATTGTTTTTGCATATGAATTAAATTAATAGTAGAAAAAAATAACCGAAAAATGCAAAGAAATATTGCTTTTGGTTTTTTTCTGTTTCGAAGATAAATCTAATAACAATTCGAAAAATTTTCAACCTATATTTTATAAATGAAAAAATTTTCAAAATATGTGGAGGAAAAATATAGAAAATCGAAAAATTGTTTTTAAGTAAAATAATTTTTTGAACATTTATTGCATTGTTTGTTGCAAAAAGTTAATTATTAGCAAACAATAATTTTTTTAAATAATCAATAGACTATTATTCAAAATTTATTTTTATTTTTTACTCCCGTGTTTTGAATGGAAAAATTATTTTAAAAAACTGCAATTTTTAAAGTGGGTTTTGTAAAAAAAATTAATTAAGAACAATAATTTAGTTAAATAATTATCAAAATTTTTTGTAAACTGTAATTTTTCCTGTTCTATTTATTAGTAAAATAAAGGAATTAATTTTTTTTCGTATTTTACAATTTATCAGAATTTTATTGATTCTCAACAAATTTTTTAAATTTTTCCTTTAAAACAACTTAAATCGATGAAAAATAACTAAATACTGGTTTCAGTAAAACTAAAAAAGAAACATATGAATTTAAAATTTCCATTTATTAAAATTTAAAATAGAAAAAATAAAAATTCTAAAAAGTTAATAAATAAATAATATAAATTTTGAAAAAATAATTCTGTTATTGTTTATCGCCTTCTTGAGTACTTTCAATTGATGGTTGAATTTCCGCTGAAAAATTATCATTACTTCCATGTGCGCTATTATTTTGATGATAATTTTTTGAATCATCTTTTCGGAAAATAGTTGTAGCTGATTTTCTATTTTCCATTGCATCTGTTGTCGAATTATTTGATTCATTATCATTTTTATTGTCGTGCTCTTTTTCCTTATCATTTTCTCCATTATCATGCGGTGAATCGTCGTCTTTCTCAAATAAATTAGATTTTCTCCAAGGTGTTTGACTTCGACGTCTTCGCATTCTCTTTGAACTTCGTCTGACAAAAAAAAACATTATCATATTACATCTTTCAATTGCTGAAAGCAAGTAAACTTTGTTATGTCTGAGGTTCGAAAATGTAATTTAATAATATTTAAAATTAACCACAAACTAAATTTAATTTTTGGACCACAAGGCGTATTCATAGCTGATGATTTATTTTATACGATTATAAATATTGCAAATATTATATTATATTCATTTATTGTGGTTTTTCTTTATTTTTTTATTGAATTATTTATTTTTAATTTACTGTTAAAATTTAGTGTTAAATTTGTAATATAAGATAAAATGGGTAAGAATTTCTTAAACGGATCACCTAAAATTAACAAATTTAATTTTCAATGTTAAATAGTTTTTTCGTCTTAATGTGATCAAAATGAGTTTCTGAAAAATTTACAACAAAAATTGTTATAAACAATTTTGAAATTTTCAGCTGTCTTAAATAAAAAAAAATTCTCGAGATAATTGACAAATTTAAAAACAAAAAATAGGTTTTTCTCATCTTGGAATGTGGTACCTACTTAAAAATAATTTTTGTTTAAAAAAAATTGTTATTTTAAATTATTTTTAAATTATATACCTAATATACATAATTTAAAAAACAAATTAAAATAACAATTTTTTTTAAACAAAAATTATTTTTAAATACCACATTCCAAGATGAGAAAAACCTATTTTTCGTTTTTAAATTTTTCATCAGGATTACAAGAAAAATTTTTTTTTTCTTTAAGACAACCACAAATTTCAATTAAACTTTAATTATAATAAAAATTTAATTAATTAAATTAATTTTAAATAAATTAATTTTAGCTAACTTCAATTTCAATTAAACTTTAACAAAAAAGTTTTTTTTCTGGTCTAATATTTTCAGAAACTTATTTTAATTACATTAGAAGTAGAAAACGATTTAACGTTGAAAATTAATTAATTTTTAAATATTGTATGAGAAATTCTGACGAATAATTGATTTTTAAAATTCATTACTGAACTTTTTTGAATTAGAAACAAAATGCAAAACTCACATTGCCGGTCTTGATTGTCTAGCAATTTTGGTTTTCTTTTTTGGTGGTATATTCTTGTCATTTCTTTTATTTGCAATTTTTGAAGTGGATTGATTTATATTCGATATGGATCTTTCTCTTTTTTTCGAAATATTTGTGTTGGTTTCTTTGTGACGTTTTTCGATTTCTTTTTTGGTTGTTGCTCGTTTCTTCGCTGATTTCACGTTGTAATCGTCGAAACTTACAATGCCTCGTCGCATATTCTTTCGACGCTTCCGTTCATCCACATTATCTCTTATACCATTGAACATAATGCCCGGCAATTTCGACGAAACTTCAAGTAAATGACCTGAATTATCGAGAGGTCTCAGGTAACCTGCATTTACTCCAAAAGAAAGAGCTTTCTTTATGTAGCGTTTCTCCTTTTTCATATCTACATTGTTTTAATTCAAATTTATGAATTTATTTTATAATGTGCATTCAATATTTTTACTATTAAATAAAATTATTTTTGTTGTTTCTAAAATATTATTTAATATTATTAGAAAATTTTTTAGTTGTATATCACTGAAAAAATTAAAGGAACACTGCTGTCTTTGTAGAGAGAGTTGTTGTCTTTTACGCGAGAGGTCAGCTTACTTCACCACAATGAGAGCTGCTATCCTCAAAAAAGCGAACTGCTACTCCTTTTGTCGAGAAAGTACTGTACTTTGACTGATTTTGACAAGTGCCCCTAAAAAAAGGACAACAGCTACTCGCCAAAGAGCAGCTGCTCGCCCTTATTCGAGCAACAGTTAACCCTCGATAGAGAGCGTTGCTCTCTCTCTCATGAAGACAGCATTATTCTTTAAATTTTTTCAGTATACACTGAAGAAAAATTATTTGATTCAATTAATCAGTTAATTGACTATTATGAAATAAATATTTATTTGTATTACTGGCCTCAGATCGACTTTAAGGAGCAAAAAAAGTCGTTTCAGTCAATTTAAATTCCAAAAAAAGTCGAAAAAGTCGATTTTTTTATTTTTAATTAAATTTAATTAGTTAATAAGTATTTCACTTTACATAACTAATGTTATTAGACATTAAATCCATTTAATTAATTTCTCTTTTTTAATTAAGTAGAACAAATTTCTAAAAGAAAAATTCTGGAAACAATATTCAATTTTAGTTTTTATTTGAAACTTTTTTAAATAATTAAATTTTTTAAGAAATATTAAAATTATTAAAAATAATTGAACTTTGGAAGAATTATAGGGTCAGTTTGGGTAAATGGGGACAAGAGGTTTTGGAGCTTAATTTACAGTTTTAAAGTTAAGTTCAACGTCAGTATTTTAACCTCAGATCACCTGCAAGAGGTTTTGAGTATTGCCTAACTTTTATCTTGACAATTGGCAGCAAGATAAAAAAAGTTATCGCTCAATGCATAACAACTTGAAAATCAAAGTCAAACTGTTTCAGTATTTTGTCGAGCATTTCAAAGAAAACAGACTTAAAAATCATACCAAATTTTTTTCTTATTCCTTATGACTCCTATAACAGAAATTCACTTGAATTTTTGATTTTTGTCAATTTGGTTAATAATGACAAGCTGTCCCCATTTACCCTGAGTTTTCAAATTTTTGGGGTAAATGGGGACAGCTTGTCATTATTAACCAAATTGACAAAAATCAAAAATTCAAGTGAATTTCTGTTATAGGAGTCATAAGGAATAAGAAAAAAATTTGGTATGATTTTTAAGTCTGTTTTCTTTCAAATGCGAGACAAAATACTGAAATAAAAAAAAATAAAAAAATTTCAATTGGTTTAACTATTATATATTTACTACAAATTTTTTTCAAGTTTTTTCATCCCTCAATACAGTAATATACTTGAGGAAACTTTTTTCATGAAACTTTCTTAGAAACTATGCTGTCCCCATTTACCCCAAATTTTATGAAATTTTCTAAATCTTGGGGTAAATGGGAACAGGCAGTTTCATGCGTTTAAAGCTTATCTAAATTTTTTTCTGCTGCATAAAATTAATCCTGGGAATGTAAATAACAACTTAAAAAAAATAAACCCTCAAATATTATACCTTTTAAAGGAAGAAACTTACGTAATTTGTGAAAAATAGCGATTTTGTCACCATTTACCCCAACTGACCCTAGTTGAAATTTTTAGAAATAATTAAATTACAAAAGATTTTGTGAAATTTCAGACAATAATTAAATTTTATAGAATTGAAAAGAATTTATGAAATAATTTAAAATAATATTTTTTTAATAGTAACTGTATTTTCAAAGATTTACAATTCAGATTTTTGAAATTGATGATGAATTTATTAGAAATTAAAGATAAAAATTCAATTTCAAAAGTTTTTAATTGAAAAATTGCTTTCAAATAATTGAATTTTTGAAGAATATTATAAAAATCATTAAAAATAATTGAATATCGAAAGAGTTATAATTGAAATTATTAAGTTTCAGAAAGTTTTAAATGGAAAATTTTAAAAAATAATTAAATTTTAAAAGGTTTTAAATTGAAATTTTTGATAATTTTGTTTGCTGATTTTTTTTAAAATGTAAACAAATATTAAATTTTATAAAATTTTTAATTGAAAAACAGTTTAAAATAATTGAATTTGTGAAGAATTTCATTATTATTATTATTAAAAAATTTTGTTAAAAATTTGTTAAATAATTGAAGTAAAGAAGATTTTAAGGATATCTGCATTATATATTAAAAAAGACATAATTTGTTTAAAAATGTTGAAGAAAAATGTAAAAAGTAGTGTAATCCGAGGCCTGGTATTAATTAATTATTATTTCAGCCAATTAAATGGTATTTGTTTCAAATGCAGAAATTATTTGTTCAAATACAGTTTATTTAATTCAGAAAGAAATTATTTGGAGGAAATAAATATTTATAAGTAACCGATTATTTGAATCAAATAATTTTTTTTCAGTCTAATTTTATAAAATATAATTTTTTTTTATAAAATCTTTAAATAATTTGGTAATTATTTCATTGTTCGCTAGATATTTTATAAAACATTTGATAAATAAATAATGAAATAAATTAAAAATTCAAAAAATTAAAAAAAAATTTTTTTTAAATTAGAAAAAAATAACATTAAAAATTTTTGTTAACAAAAACATTACCTTCTTTTATGCCAGTTTTTATGTAATTGTTAATTAATTCCACTAAAGATTTTCGTCTCATAAGTTCTTTTATTCCTTTCTTCGAATCCACAGGTTCCTGTGAATCAGAATCGATCGCTCTAGAGTCATTGTAATTGTAAACAGAGCTAGCTTTCGATGTCGCAGAATCCATTGTCTCTGACATGACACTGTAATTACTTAATCTTGAAGGCGATTCAGATGGAGCAAACGAGAGTTTCCTTATTTTTTGGCTATTGTTTGTCTTGTTATTATTTCGTGCTCGCCCTTGTCTGTTAAAATTTTAAAAATTAGAAATTTTTTTTTATCTAAAACTACAATTAAAAAGATATAAAATACAATATACAATTATTTATGTTATTATGAAACAAATTTTTATAGAAAATTTACTTTTAAAATAATAATAATAACCTAAATGAAAAAATTAACATGAAATTTGATGGGAAAATGCTTTTTATAATGTTTAGAAAAAATAATTTACTTTTTAAATTAATTCTTTTTATTTTTACCTTTTTATTTTTACTCCTGGAACTTTAAAATGTTTTGACTTCGAGTGACGTTGATTGTTACTAAGTGCTGCTAAATTCCCTAAATTAATGTATCATTGATTTTAGTAATTATATTATTTTCATGAAAAATATTGAAAATAAATATTCTCATTTTATTTCAAATTAAAAATATTTTATAAACTTCAAAAAAAAATTATTTTAATAGCTTAAAATAGTAATTGAAAATTTAATTTTGTACAATCTCATTCAGAAAAATATTACTTTTACATTGAAATAAAAAAATGTTATATTTTATGACAAGTGATGAATAATTTTTCTTTAATATAGCAGACGAATTGTTATTAGTATTTTGAAGAAACGTATATTTTCTTGCTTACCTAGAAGTTCGTAAATAAAATTATTAACGTCAGTTGTATTTCGTGACTGTACGCGATGCAAAATATTCGTCCGTTTTTTACCACGCGGACGACGATGAAGAGATTCTTTTTTTGGAACTTCGTGTTGTTTTTTTGTATTCAAAATACGCGCCTTTCCTTGTCCTTTAACTGCTGGCATATTTTTGAAAGAGTTGAAAGAAATTTTTACTTAATGAAAAGATAATAAATTTTTGTTGCCAGCGCGTTCAATTTTGACAGACAATCACACGAACAGGATAACAATTGAAATTCGTCCTATGAAGTTTGATAATAAACAAATGTTTCAATCAATAACCCAACATTTTTCCCGGTTATATTTGAGTTGGCCTCTGTTACATGGTAATTGTTTTTAATTACTAGTAGAAAATTATATATACCTATAGGAAGAAAGTACCGCAAAGTTAAAATTGGAAAAGTTTAGAAAAGATTTACCAGAAATTTATTAAATAAATAATTATCAAAGTTTAATTTCTTTAAAAATAAATAATAATCTTGAAATAGCAGTTCGCTATTTCATTAGTGCTTTTATTTTTAAAAACTAGCGCCACCGACAGGCGCAAGCGGCCGTCTTCGTTGCTTCTGTTCCTTTTTCAATTTTCATTTTATTCATTTCATTTCAAAAAATGATTTGATTTCTTCTTGCTTTTTTTATCCCATATCGATTCAAAATATAGAGAAAAAATTTATGAATATGAAATAAGAGAGAGTGATTTACGCTATAATCTCTCTTGCACTAATAATTTTCTGCTTATTTATTTTTAAATTATATTCATCTTTATGGTACTACATCCTAATTTGCTTATAATTGATTATAATCTGTTGATAAAATACTTTATCAATGCATTTTATTTAAGGTCTCCATTTTATAAACTTTTTAGATAAATAATTTAAATTTTTGATAAGTTGTTAATTATAATGTGAAGTTAGTGAAAGGAAATTTTTCAGCTATTAAGGAAGTTCTCCCCCTCCAACGTCAGTCAAATCAATGACCATTTAAGTTTTCATTTGTATCACGTAGTACTAGCTCAACGCTTGGCAACGTTGGATTATATTTCCCCCCTTCCGTTTCGTGTCGTCTGCTATTGTTTGATTTATTTTCGTTAAATAATAATAATAATAATTTATTATTTTTAAAATCTTAATTTTTTATAAGCAAATTCAAATTATTATTCATTATTATGAATCTTTGAAGAATATACTATTATATGTATATACTACTTATATTACTTTCAAATTTCGCGCTTTTTCTATACCTAACCTACAAGACGCAACGTTGCCAAGCGTTGTGCTAAGTAATTTCTGATTGTCAAAATACGGTGTTTTTTTAGACAAAATAATTAATTGTGAGTCTCCTAAGCCAGGTCTGATCAATTTTATTAAAAGTAAGTGAACATTGGCTATTAAACTTTATGTATATAAAGTTCCAGTAATATCTTTTCGTCAGATTTTTCACAATTTGAGATTTCAGACCAAAAAATTCAATTTCCCGTAAGAACCCGTGTTAAATGTGAAAAGAGAAAATTATTTATATCTTTTGTCAAAATCCACCTAGACCTCTAAAAATTTAACTACATCTTCTTTAAACCATTATCTATCAGTTTATCAAGTTTGATAATTAACTCTTCGTCATTTCTGTTTGCGAGAGAACTTCCTTAAAAGGTCACTGAAATGGTAATTTAAAAAAATTACAATTTGTAAATCATGAATTTAAAAAAAAATCATCAAAAAATTTCTTCAAAAACAATATTTTTCACTACCTACAGTTGTAAAAAAGAAAGATATACAGAAGAGGTAGAGAAGGCTATAAAAGAAGACAGGGAGTGGGACATCATTAATAGAGAAAGAAAGAGAAAAGGGGAGATAAGCGGCGAGATTAAGATGGAAGAGTGGACAGACCATTTTCAGAATTTGAGTGGTAGATCAAGGAGCAGAGTAAGAGGGGAAGGCAGGAAAAAATTAGGCAACGAGGGGGAAGGGGAAATTACGATGGAGGAAATGCAGGACGCGTTAAACAGGATAAAAAGGGGAAAAGCAGCGGGTTTAGACGGTATGGAAGGGGAGGGGTTAAAATACGGAGGGAAGGTAGTAAAAGAGGAATTATTGGAAATTTTAAACAGGGTTTGGAGAGGGGAAGGCTGGCCGGAAGAGTGGAGGACAGGTGTAATCGTGCCAATTGTGAAAAAGGGGGAAGGAAAAAAGGTAGATGATTACCGAGGCATATCTCGGAAATACTAAGGAAGAGATTGGAAGCCAGGGTAGAACAGCTAGGTTGTATTCCGCATAATCAAACGGGGTTTAGGTCAGGTATGGGTACAATGGATAACATTTATGTTCTGAACCATCTGGTCACCAGGAACTTGGGAAAGCCAAATGGAAAGCTGATTGCAACGTTCGTCGACTTTAAGGCAGCCTTTCCGTCGGTAAACAGGGGTTTGCTGTGGAGGGTATTAAGGAATCTAGGGATAGAGGATGAAGTTAGTAGAGAGGATTAAAGAATGTTACGTAGACACGAAGGAAAGGGTAAAAGTGGGAGGAAAAATGGGAGAGGTATTCTGGCTGGGGAGGGGGTTAAAGCAGGGGTGTCCTATGAGTCCGATTTTGTTTAACCTGTTGATTGCAGACTTGGAGGAGAAGCTGGCAAGGAGAGGTAAAGGAGGCGTGATCCTGGGCAAGGGGAGATTGTTTTCGTTGGCATATGCGGATGATTTGGTGTTGTTGGCAGAGTGCGAAAGTGGTATGAGGTTACTTTTAAGTGAGTTTGAGTTGTATGCGAGAGAGAAAGATTTAAGTGTGAATGTGGCAAAAACAAAGGTGATGAGGTTTAGGAATAAAAGAGCAGGTAGTGAAGAAGTGTGGAAGATGAATGGTTTAAGAATGGAAGAGGTGGATAAATTTTGTTACTTGGGTTATTGGTTTAAATACAACGGGAAGCTTGATTTGAATATTAATAGAAGAATAGAGCGAGCGAGTAAGGTAATGGGACAGGTTTGGGGTATAGGGAAAAGAAAATTTTGAATGACTGGAGAAGGAGAGTATGGTTGTTTGATGTGTTAGTGTGGTCTGTTTAGAGTTATGGTGTGGAAATATGGGGATGGAAAGAGATATTGAGGATAGAGAGAATGCAGGAGAGGTACCTTAGATGGACAATGGGAGTGAGTTGGAATTGCCCAGGATACATGTTGCGAGAAGAATTAGGGAGAGAAAAATTAGTGGTGAAGCAGAGAAAGCGAGCATGGGGATGGGAGGAAAAATTGAGGCAAGGAAGAGGAAGTAGTTTGGCGCAAACGTGTTGGAAATTGATAAAAGAGGAAGAGAGAGTGGGAGAGAAGAATATGAATGGTTGGGAGAAGGGAAGATGGAGTGCTTTGAAGGTTGGAAATGTGGGAAGAGCGAGCGAAGAGAATAGGGTGGATGGATGGATTGTGAGAGATAAGGAAGAAAGGTGGGGAAAGATTCTGGGTTCGCAATACAACAGATGGTATAAAATGGTAAGGGGGCGTGAGGAGCCAGAGTACCTAAGGAAAGCAAGGAAAGAGAGTGAATGGAATAGGGTGCTAAGATTTAGAATGGGAGAGGGTATGAATGAGTGTAAATATTGGATGAGTGAGAACGAGATGTTGTGTAGAGTATGTGGGTATGAAAAGGAAGAATGGGGTCATGTGTTAGAGAGGTGTGCAAGGGGTGAGACGGAAGAAAAAGGTGTGGATGAGAAGGTGTGCTGGATTCTGTGTGAGAATGGGCAGGGAAAAAGATGGATGAAAGAGTTAGAGAGATTGAGAGAGAGGATGAATGAAGTAAAGTTTGTGGAGAATGATAAGGAAGAGTGAGAATATGGGACCATAATTATAATCGTTTAGTGTAGCGCTTAATTTGATGAAGCCGAAATGGGCATTTATAATACTGGAACGGGAAACGGAACCCGGGCTCTTGGTGGTTTTTAGATTTGCGTTATTTGCGTTAGTTTAAGTAGAATAAGATCATAGGTTAAGAAATATGTATTTAGAGAATAAGTTAGTTGATTGTAAGCAGGTGTCTCGAACCCTACCATTGTAGGGAGAGTAAATAAAGAACACTACCTACAGTTGTAATTATGTTTATTTTTCTTTTTTATAAATTTTTTATTAATAACAAAGGAAAATAATATATTATAATATTTAAGTATTATTAAGTTGAATGACATATTTTTAAATTATCGCGCACTAATTATTTTGACCAATCAAGTGGTTTCTCTTGGAAAGTTCGCATGTTTCCAGTGGAAACTTCTTGCAAATTATAAATGTCCTCACTTTATTTGAAATATTAAAATTTAATTTAATAAAAAATTTGTATTATTAATAAATTAATATATAAAGTTTCAGTTATTTTATCATTCAAGAAAGCAAATAGGTATTAATAACATTAATCAAGTTTCATTTAAAAAAGAATATATAAAATTTCTAATATAAGAGTACCTATTTTGTCAATTTCAAAGCAATTAATGTAATTCATTAAAAAAATTTACAAATAATATTTGTTGCTTTCAATTAGGTACAAAGAAAAAGTAATAGTAATACAAATTTATCAATTTAAAGCAAAAATTTATAAGTAAAAGTAATAATATACTTTAAAAACATGAAATATTATTGAAAAAAAGTTCTTTGAAATAATGTACTAAAAATACTTTAGATTATAAAAATTAAATATTACTTATTTGCATTCTAATAATATTATATAAGTAAATTTAAAATAGAATTTTAAAAATTGTTACATTTAAACAATTGTACAATAAGAATTATTATTAGTAATTAATTAATTAAATAGAATTTAATAGAAGAAATCTTAGAAGAAACAATTGTATATTTTAAAAATTTAAAAACTAAAAATTAATAGATATAAATTATTAAAAAATTTTTTTAATTATTTATTTTTAATGATTCTTATAATATTCTTCGAAAATTCAATTATCTGAAAGCATTTTTCAATTAAAAAATTTTTGGAATTTAATTTTTTTATGTGATTTTTAATAAATTCTTCATTAACAGAAATCACTAAAATTTTCTCTTATTATAATTATTGTCTGAAAATTAACATAATCTTTTGAAATTCAATTATTCTCAAAAATTTCAATTTAAAAGCTTCTAAAATTTATTTATTTCTAAAATTTTTCTATCTACAATTTTTTGAAATTTAATACTTTCAATTATAACTGAAATTCAATTATTTCTAATAATTTTTATAATATTCTTCGAAAATTCAACTATCTGATACCATTTTTCGCTTAAAATGTTTTCAAATTATTGTATTTTTGTCTGCAAGTTCTAAAACATTTTTTAGTGAAATCTTCAAAAAATTTTAATTAAAAATCACTTGAAGTTCAATTAATTTCAAAAATCAAAATTGTAAATCGTTTAAAATTCAATTATTTCTAAGAATTTCAACTTTAACTCTTTCAGAATTTTATTACTTAAAAATCTGTAAAACTTGATTAAGTATTGCCTGAAATTTTATTGACCATCAAAACCAAAAAACTATGACAAAATTTTGAATTCAAATAAATTGCTTAAATCAGATTTAAAATAATTATAAAAATGAAACTTTAAGTATTTTTTTTAGAAACTTGTTTTACTTAAATAAAATTTTGAAAATTTGTCTTACAATTAGTTTGATTCTGAAATACTCGAAATAAATTTTCTTGGTAATATTTTAATAGAATTATTCTCATTACAGAATTAATAAAAATGAATTTAATATCTAATAACATTAGTTATTTAAAGTAAAATATTTATTAATCAATTAAATTTTGTTAAAATAAAAAAAATCGACTTTTTCAATATAAATCGACTGAAACGATTTTTTTTGTGCCTTAAAGTCAATTCGAGGCCTGAGTATGTGAATCGAAAAATTTAAACTTTTTAGTTTGCATTACAACTTTTCGGTTTTAAATGCTTAAAGTTGAAATCAACATGAAGTTTTTCACCCTTTGTGGACAAGTGTTGGTTTCAGGCAACATAAACATTTTTTTGTTATCTTAAGCATAATTTTTTAAAATTAAATGTTAGACCAATGATTTTCATTTAATTTAATAAATTTCTAATTCTAAAACTTTGGTTCTAAGACAAAAAACCTTAATTAGTTTCGCTGAAAAACTTGTTTAAAAATCGTGATTTTTTAAGAAATAATTTGGTCCTCAAAGGGTTAAATCTTATTATTTCAGTAGTTTCATTATGTACCTAGTTCCAATTTCCAGTGAAACGAATTTTATACTTCAATTTATTTTTATTCAGCAAAATTTTATAAAGTGGAATTAATAAATTGATACTAATTCAATGAATTGTACTACTTTTTTGCCTTTTTTCAATGAATGCGACTCTTTTCAGATAAAATGAGATTTATTTTGGTTTTAGAGTGTAAAAAATAACTGATCGATTTTTTTTGAACTTTTAGATGCTAAAAAAGACATAAACAAAAAAATTAGTTTTGAATAATTTAAAAAATTTTATTTTTGCGTTAGATACCTGTTTACAATTTTTATGAGTTAAAATATTGAAAATTCTACTAACTTAAAAATTATTTTCATTATTTGACTCAACAATTTCCCAGGAATTGACCTTAAATATAAGTTTTTATAAAACTAATTTTCAAAGTTTGTGACAATTTCAACTCAAAAATTTTATAGAAAATCTGAAAAAATTCTATAAATTTATTTTAAATTAATAAACAAATAAATAAAACTTGAAAATGGTTCAGAAAAAAAATTTTGAATTTTTTTAAATCTAAAGACGTTGAAAATTTTTCTCAGTTAAATTATGACTCTTTTGTGCCTTAAAATCGATCCGAAGCCTAATCCAATTGAATTTTTATTTCATAAAGAGTATTTTTATGTAAGCGAATTCTATCTATTAATAAATTAAAAATTAGTTGAAATAAAAATTTGGCTAAATAAAAGTTCTGCTCAATAAGAATTAAAATAAGTGGAAATTCCGTTACATATAAATTTTGTTAATCAAAAATTCTCTAAAGTAGATATATGAAAAATCAGATAAATAGAAATTTCATTGAATAAAAAATCAATAAAACAAAAATTCTTCGTTAAGAAAACTCCATTTATTATGAATTTTACTTTATAAAATCTGGTGAAATAAAAATTCGATCTTGTTGGCATGGAAATATGGAAAAAAATCATTATTTTAAATTTGAATGATTTCATTTTGCGGTTTCTTGCAAGAAATTAATTTACAGAATATTTTATTATTAATTTAATTGAAATATTTTGTATTTTTTGGCGTAAGTGGCTAAAAATTCATTAAAATAGATCTATTACTTGGGTCTGGAATTTTGTTGAAAATGGACTGGAAAACCTAGGAAAATGGAATTTTAAAATCAGTCTTTCGTGGCTAGCCTGTAAATTATTAAAATATACAATTGTTTCTTCTAAAATTTGTAGAAAAAGTAATAAACTAGTGAAATATGCTTTGACAATTTCATTAATAATTATAAATATTGAGAGAAACATGAGGACAAGCGAATGTAATGTTCAGCGAGAATCACCCATATAATATATTTAATTTTTATTATAAAATAAATTCTATTTAATTAATTAATTACTAATAATAATTCATATTGTACAATTGTTTAAATGTAACAATTTTTAAAATTCTATTTTAAATTTACTTAAATAATATTATTAGACTGCAAGTAAGTAATATTTAATTTTTATAATCTAAAGTATTTTTAGTACATTATTTTAAAGAACTGTTTTTTAATAATATTTCATGTTTTTAAAGTATATTATTACTTTTACTTATAAATTTTCGTTTTAAATTGATAAATTTATATTACTATTACTTTTTCTTTGTACCTAATTGAAAGCAACAAATATTATTTGTAAATTTTTTTAATGAATTACATTAATTGCTTTGAAATTGACAAAATAGGTACTTTTATATTAGAAATTAGAAAATAACTGAAACTTTATAGGGTCGTTTGGGGTAAATTGGGGGAAAATCGCTATTTTTCACAAATTACGTAAGTTTCTTCCTTTAAAAGGTAATATTTGTGGGTTTATTTTTTTTAAGTTGTTATTTATGTTCCCAGAATTAATTTTATGCATCAGAAAAAAATTTAGATAAGCTTTAAACGCATGAAACTGTCTGTTCCCATCTATACCAAAATTTAGAAATTTTCATAAAATTTGGGGTAAATGGGGACAGCTTGTCATTATTAACCAAATTGACAAAAATCAAAAATTCAAGTGAATTTCTGTTATAGGAGTCATAAGGAATAAGAAAAAATTTTGGTATGGTTTTTAAGTCTGTTTTCTTTGAAATGCTCGACAAAATACTGAAACAGTTTGACTTTGATTTTCAAGTTTTTATGCATTGAGCGATTACTTGAATTATCTTGCTGCCAATTGTCAAGATAAAAGCTTGGCAATACTCTAAACCTCTTGCAGGTGATCTGACGTTAAAATATTGACGTTGAACTTAATTTTAAAACTGTAAATTAAGCTCCAAAACCTCTTGTCCCTATTTACCCCAACTGACCCTAATATATAAACAAATGTTTTTTCTTCAAGTTTAGAAACCTAATATTTTATTTCCTTTGGGTTACAATCCTATATCTTTTATGCATGGAATTTGAAGAAAAATCCTCTTACAGCTCACCGTTTTAAGCTTTTGTGCTATCTGGGTATATTTTACCCATTTAAAAATTAATGTGTCAATGCTTTGCCAAAAATAATAAAATTTTTATCAGAATTTCAGGAGAAAATTCAAAAAAAAATTTCTTTCAAAAAGTAAGCGATTAGTCAATGAAAATTTGAACAACGTTTTTACGTGTAACAAATGACTCTAAGTTACAAAACAAACCGCTACCCGTAGATAAATGAATAATTGATAGATAAATTTGTTGGGAAATCCGACTTTAATTGGGGATTTGACTTACATTGGAAATCGCAATCCTTGCAGATTCTCCTTAATCTTACTGTGATGGAATCTTACGTAAGAAGAAATTAGCTGATAACTTCGTTTAATCTAATGTAATTTCGTCTTTTAAACGAAAAAACATTACATATACATACATACATACATACATATACACACACATATATAAATATTGATTACATTTTTTAACCAAAAATTTTATTTATACATGTTGGGATTCATTTAAATGCATTTAAGAATCAAAAAATAGATGAAATTATTTTAAGAGGGCGTCAACTTTTTGACTTTATTTGAAAGAGTTTCTTTATAGTATTTACTCCACATACAAGTGACTAGTTAGTGAACTAAGGATTTTTTTATTTCAATTAAAATTTTCACATTTAAGTAATACTGAAAAAGTAAAATTTTTAATTTCATAATTTATTTTCCAATTAAACATGCTGTGATTTCGTTAAAAATTTAAATTTTATAAAAATTTGTTTCACGAACAAATCATTTATATGTAAAATAAGTCCTATATTATATTTGAAGTTTTCGTGAAATTTTGTCCACAGGAAAGTAATTTTATAAAATATCTTTTTCAAAAATCTAATAATCCTGAAAAATTTTCAATTAAATTGCAAAATTCTTTTTATAACCTTTCAGTAGCTTAGATGCAAAACCATTATCTCATACTGCATTACACATTGTTGAGAAAGAAAAACAAATTTCGTCTGATCAACTACAGGTATAACTACTGAAATTGCAACAGTATAAAAATGTTAAATCATGGTAAGAATTCTGCGTTGGTTCTAACGTTGATTTTTATCCCTTGCTCCCTACGTTATCGACTTTACAGCTTCCATGCACCCTTCATTTTCATCAAACTTCGTCAGATCAATACCTCATCTGCTTTCTCACACAGTATTCATTGTGGGCGCTGTCACAACACAGAAAATACGTCTTATTAGAAACCTTAAATTTTATATATTTGTTTTTTAAAAAAGGTAAACAATACACAAATAAATAAATTCTAAGGTATAAAATGTGAAGAACAAACAATTATAAAAAAACTTCGAAATATTACCGAAAATATAGTTTAATATGAACTTTATTTTAAACAATCTTTGTCTGTGATTGTCTTTAATTTTTTAAAACTAAGTGAAATTGAAAATTAATTTTTGTATTGAATGAAAATAAGTATTGTTAGAAAAAAAGATGCCTTGCTAAAAAAAATAGTTCTTAGAAAAAAAAGGAAAAAAGATTGAATGAATTTGGCTAATAACAAATAATTCACAAAATGAAAAGGCAAAATGTTAGAACATTGTCCTTGGTGGTGTGCACTTTTACATATTTACTTATTGGTGCTGCTGTGTTTGATGCATTGGAATCTGACACGGAACGCCGTCGTGGAGAATTTCTTACTGGTAAGGAAATAGTAAATTTCACCTTTTAACTATATAACTTTTAGTTTATGACTATGTATGAATATTGTAAACAGATATTAAGAATTAAAAAAAAGTATAAATAAGGCAAAATTTTTCATGTGATACAATTTAAATAATTTTAGGATTGTCCCGGGTGTGACTTTTTGGTACCCACTAACAAGTAAACATACCCAAGTGCCACTCGCCGATCTTAATCAAACTAATCCTATCTTTTAAAGTATAGAAAGATATGAGATACCTATTTTTTTTAAAGTTCACATTAAGATTCGCAGTAGAGAATCGACGCTAAGTAAAAAAAAACCGCGAATATATTTTGTCAAAATATTGTCATTTTTCCACCAAAATTAGATATCTCGAAAAGTTCTTTACCGATTTCATTCAAACCTTTTTTGCCAGGTAAAGCATGTAAAAAAATAATTTTTGTGGTGAAAATGGGAGAATTCCCAAAGAATTATGAAAATTAAGCTTAAAAAACTGAAAAATGTATGATTTTTTTATTTTTAGCCACGCCTGGAGCTTATTGGGATGTCCGTTACTGTGAAGCGCTCTCTGTTGAAAACTTTTTTAACCCTTGAAAATATAAGATATTCTATTCCCTATTGAAAAACCTTGTACAAGATCTTGTACAAGAAAATGTACATGTTCTTGTACAAGTTCATTTAAAAAAATTTTTTAAAGTACAATTTGAGATTTTAATAATTTAGAATCATTAAAACCTTTTACTTATGCATGCCAAAAATTATTGCGCAGATGTAAAGTCCTAAGAAAACTACTGCGCAACTTTTAAAGTTTTTAATTTTTACTGAACAAAGACATAAATAAACCTGTACAAGAACATGTACATTTTCTTGTATACAAATATTAAATATATTTTTGTACACGATCTTGTGCAAGATCTTGTACAAGTCCTCGTACAAGAACTTGTTCCAAATTCTGGTGCCGAAATTGTACAAGTTCAGCTGCTCAATATGTACATTTTCTTGTACAAAATCTTGTACAGTCATTTTCAATAGGGTTTAAATCTAAAATTCATAAAAATATAGATGTGATAGAGAAAGTTTTGAAATCCAAACAAAAACATCTTCGTTGCAAAAAGTTACGCCAAGCAAAAATTATCTTAATCATCGAAACAATTTGTGAAATAAAAGTTAGCCAAGTATAATAATATAATAATATAATTGAAATATTGGTAAAATTGCTATTAGGAAATAATAATTAATGTTTTTGAGTCGATTTATGCAATATTATTGGATAATTAAGCTCTTGTTATTAAATAATTAACTTTTTTAAAGAGTAGTGTACACTCTAAATCTGAATCAGTGAAAATTTCATTGAATTCAAATAAGTGGCTCAGTTTTCTTTAATTCACCAGTGGAATTTCACTGGGAATCAGTAAAAACCACTGATTCTCAGTGAAATTCCACTGGTGAATTAAAGAAAACTGAGCCCCTGATTTGAATTCAATGAAATTTTCACTGATTCAGATTTAGAGTGTATTTACCTGTCATAGTATATTATTATGGTTAATAATAATATATGGTTATTGTAATAATTGTTATAATTGTTATAATATACATGGTTATTTAATAACAAAAATAATTAATATTAATTCAATAGGAAAAAAGTTAATTTTCTGTCATTTTCCTTTTTTTCAATCACAAAATAGAATATACCATGACAGGTAAATTCACTACTCTTTAAAAAAGTTAATTATTTAATAATAAGAGCTTAATTATCCAATAATGTTGCATAAATAGATTCAAAAACATGAATTATTATTTCCTAATAGCAATTTTACCAATATTTCAATTATTTTTTGCAATATATTGCCTCAAACCCAAACAAACCGAAACTTGACCGATCTCAGTCAACTTCTCGGTTTACACAATCCGCCAGGGAAGTTAAAAAAATTCGTATCTGACCTAATCTGCCGTATAGATTAAAAAGATACATAAGCGACATTGTCATTTAGGTTGATATTCTCATGTTTATACTATAGTAATGACGACCTAAGCGACAATGTGACTTGCGATCTTTTTAATCTGTAAGGCAGTACTGGAGGTTGTAGGTAACAAAAAACTAAGAAGAATGGTATATTAAAAATTTCCCTAACACCCCCAAATTTTGATTTTAGAGCCAAAAAACCGTTTTCAAGTATATAATTTTATTCTTAAAGCTAACTACATTTTTCTTATATGGAAAATAAAATTCATATTTACTGAAATAAGTTATTTTTAACAAAACTCTTTAACAAAAATCTAAATTATTAGATTGAAAAGAAATCAATTAATTATTATTAAGACATTTAATTTTAATTCAATATTTTTATTCAGTATTACATGTTCTTAATAAAATTTAACAGTAATATAATTTTCAATTATTTTCTTTTTCAAGTATTATAATAACAAAATAGTCATAAAATTAAGCACAAAAAGTTTAATTATTCGAATTGAAATTTTTTCTATTAAATACACTGCAAAAAATTAAAAATACGTCAATGTTGTTAATTTGATAGTCAGCAAAAAATTTAAAAATAATATGATAATATTATTGTGTTTTTTAATTTAATCAATCAGTAAGTAATAATTGATTTATTTAGGAAATTAATTCAATTGATTATTTGTTCAAAATTTTTTCATTTTCTTTAATTTTTTCGGCCAAGGAACAGGTCACCCAAGAATTTAAAGTCATAAGATATCTCGCGTATTCGTCACTCAATCGATTTCTGTGTTTTCTTATTATAAGCGAACTTTTCGAAAAAACACGCTCAGATGGGACCGATGTGGCTTGGATGGATAAATAATCTCTAGCCATTTTTCTAAGATTCGGATACAGATTTTGGTGTTGTTTCCACCATTCCAAAATATTTACATCTCCATTCGCTCTTGTTTCTTTTAAATAAAGATCAATTTTGTTTCTACAATGATTTGTACGAGCATTGACGGAGTGAGACTTTTTAATCACTTTTATAAAAAGATTTTACATCTAAGATATCGTCATCATCATCATCAACATCGGCTGCAATAGCATCATCCAATTCATTCTGATAGGTTGTTGATAAGTTAGCAGTATTTACAAGATTCTAATTTAAAGAAATTGGTAATGAAAATTGTAATATTAAATTAATTTCTAGAAAATAATATATTTTCTAAAGTGTAAAAATATTTATGTAATTTGCTTTAAAATTGGCAAGAAAATTTCACGAAAAAATTAGGAAATCATTGTAAAAATACAAAATCCAGGAAAGATCAGGAATTTAAAAAAAAATTAAGTATGTTTAAGAATTGTTATGAAAAATAACTTGAAATAAAATTATAAATTTTCATGGCAGGAATTCAAATAATTACAAATTTTTACAACAAAGGAAAATAAAAAATTATCCATGAGAAAGTCAGGCAATTATGAATAGTAACTTTTCGGTCATTTTTGAGTAAATTATTTTCAACAAAAATTCAAAAATTTAAAAAATGAAATCATTAAAATATAAATTTTTTTACTTTTTCTGGAACGTAATAATTTGTTCTGTAAATATTCTCAAACGTTTTTGCTGAATGGGCTAACATTTCTTTGCCCCATGTTGTTTTTTTGAATTGTTCCATCTTAAATCAGGGATCTAAAATTAATTCCTGCGCAATAAATCCAATGGGTTCGATTATAATGTTTCCGAAGTTTCTTATCAGCAGCCTCAAGAGCTTGAAGAATTCTTTTGTCTACGGTGGATGTTTCACTTCTTAAATTTACAATCGACTCTTCTAATTTGTCAAGAAGCATATTGAATCCGACAATAACGTATAACAATGTCACGTATTTATCACCACTAAAAATAGTGGAAAGTGATTTGAAATAACGCAAATACTTGCATACTTTCTTCAGAATCAACCATTCTTCCTCATCCAGGGATAAATGTTTCAAAGACTCGTTATTCTGAAACAGTAAATCGATTCCAGCTTGCATTTAAAGTCCTAAGATGATCATATCCGCTGTTGAATTCCATCTGGTACATACGTCTACATTAGGAGAGAGCATTTTTATATTGGTTGATTAACAACAGATTCTCTTATTCCTCTACTTTTCCGATTTTTTCAAAAATTTGAAAAGTTTTCTCAACTTTGAAAGAGGCGATTCCGTTCGAAAATTGGATGAGATGACTTCCAAGTCTTCTTCGTCTAATCCTTCAGTAATTTCATCAATATCCTCCTCCTCTTCTTCTTCTTCTTCTTCTTCTTCTTCTTCCATAAAAACATCTTCTAAATTGAGATCTTTAAGTAAATATTGAGCCACAAGATTTAAAATATGAGCGATGCATATAAAATGTTGATTTACGTGATCAAATTCCAAAAGTTTTGACAACTCCCACATGAAGGTTGCGTTTGAGGCAGTGTTATCTACTGTAATACCCAGGATTTTATCAACAACATCATAAGCCTTGACTGTTTTGTGAAATAAAGAAGCAATATCCCGACCAGTATGTTCTCCTTTCGAAGGCAAAAATCTATCAACAAAGAGTGTAATGTCCAATCTTCGCGGATAAAATGTCCAGTAATACAATAATATGAACGGCCAGCAATTGATGACCATCCATCCACAATGCAAGAAATTTTCGAATAATTATTTTTCAAAATGTGCATAACAGATCGTTGTTTGCAATTAAAAGAATCTTCTACTAATTTTTTTAATCCATTTAGCTTGGGCATTTTTGCTTGAGGATTCAAAAAGTCGAAAAAATTTTAAGTTTTAGTGTCATCAAAAAAATTGTAAGGTAGATATTTTGCTGCTACCCACTCGTCCGTTTTTATCCACATTTCTTCTTGACTGAATTTCTGTATAGAATAAAATGAGTATGTAAATAATATTTCACAAAAATAAAGATTTAGTTCAACAAAATCTATTATTTATTATTATTCATAATAATTATTATTAAGTATTTTTTAAATAGTTAATTAATTTTTCAATTTAATTAATTATAATTAATTAATTGATAATTCAATTAATGGAAATAAATTAAATTTGTAATAGACACGAGAAAAAAATTTTTATTAGAATTTATATAAGGATTTGAATAAATATTATTTTTTAGTAAAAACATTTTAAATGTTCGTGTTCTGACCCATACATGATTCTAGAATTTTTTTACTTTTCATTCTGAATAAATATAATAAATATTTAATTTACTAACATTAACATACATAATAAATGCTGGTATTTCACAATACAATCAAGGCTTATATAATAAATTCTTAATAAATTTATAATAAATTATTGACAATTGTATCATGGAAATAACACAAAATGAAAAAAAATTAATTCTTGTGAAAATATTTCCATTTTTTGAGAAATTAATGAAAAAGGAGGTTAAAGTAATTATTATCATTTCAGACATGTTAATAAGTAAAAATTAAAATTACTTCAACTGAGGGAATGCTCAAAACTCCACATAGACATTCATACTCCTTTAAATGATCAAAACATTTGGCCATTTTACAATTTTTATTGTAAAAAAAATCAAAAACTTCACTATAAGACTTTCCAGATCTTTTTCTTCTCTTGACAGGATTTTGCATTCTTGCATTATTTTCGGAGCTAATTTAATATAATTTCAAATAATTTTTACTCACAATTTTATATTTAGAATACTTACCTTGCTCTCTTTTTATTTTCTGTTGGTACGTTATTTTCTTTTTCATTTGACATTGTATTTTAACCTTAACTACATAAAATATGTACCTAATATTTTCAAAACAACGTTTGATCAAATAATTGAACGAGATACGAGATGAAATGAGACGATAATAACAAAAAAGAAACTACTTTTTTGAGCATGAGAATAGGTTACAATCTAGAAAATTTGAGTAAAAACTTGAGCATCTCGTATCGTAGTGCAACACTAATCAATATCAATGTGCTTGTTTCCTTTGCGGTTTTTTTTATTTACTTTCACATCAAGTAATGGGTTTGAGTTAGTCGACAGCATTCTCACCTCTCGTTTGTCTTGGCATGAAATTGCTACAATATTCTTAAATAGCATTTTTTTCAATGCGCCGCGTTCAAGTTTTCGTTTTTTTAACTGCTTCAGTTCTGCTAGCCAATGTTTTCTATCTGCGCGAGTTGTACCGTAAGGATAAATTTTTTTTCCAAATAACATTTCCATGAGTGGCACAGAAGAAATATGTTGTCTATATAGACATGATAATAACGATTCTCAAATGGTTCACACATATCTAGAACTACTTGCTCGCCTAAGAGCAAATCAGAATTTATAGTCTCTTTCTTTCTTAAATACATTTTCATATGTAAAATGTAACTCGTCAAATTGTCTGCTATGGACCAAACTTTTATACCCCACTTAGTTGGCTTTTTAGCCATGTATTATTTAATCGAAAGGCGGCCTTTGAAACCTATCATTGCCTCATCTACTGCAAGGTCATGTCCTGGATTAAAATGTTCTCAAAATTTTTCAGTTAAATTTAAGAAAGGTCTTACTTTATGCAAATTGTCATGTTCTGGAATGTTTTCTATATTACTGCAGTAAAAATATTTGGAAATTAATTTAAATCATCCATACGTCATTGCATTTCTTATTAAAGGACATTCCACAAAATCTGTCTTAAAATACATTTCAATTTCTGGTCAGTCCGCAATTCCCATCCCAGTAAAAACATATACTTCATATATACGAATCGATTCGTTTCAATACAAGGAATACAATTATTTGATTTACAGTAAACCCTCTCTCGGTAAAGCCGCTTCCCCAGTTTGTCGAGTGAGCTTTTCCCCCACTGCTAGTGTTTCTCGAAATTTTTTTACTTTAATCTCAGTAGTGCAGAAAAAAAACATTGTTTTACGTTTGGTGAAGACCCTTCCATCCTTTCTCAGTGCGTAACATCATTTATGAATGTTCCAATATTAGTTTTTATTTTTGTGATCATATTATTACGTGTAAAATGTGATACTTTACGTATTTGATACTAGATCTTATACAAGGATTTTTAGCCACGAGACGTAGCTCTAAACCACTACTTAAATATTTTACCAGATTTAAATAAAAAAAATTTCATTAAAATATGAGAAACCTTTCGATATTAAATATACTTTTCATTTACATTTAATAAAAGCTAATTGAAGCTTTTCTTTTATATTTAATTTTTTTTAATTATGTCGATAAATTTTCATATTTTTTGTTATTGTTTCTATTCGCAGAAGTGAAAAATAACATGATCAAGAAATACAATATTACTGCAGAAGATTATCTAATGGTTGAAATTGTTATGATTGAAAATAAACCACACAAGGCTGGTCCACAATGGAAATTTGCAGGCGCTTTCTATTTTGCCACTGTGGTTCTAGCAATGATAGGTAACTAAAAAAATACTCTATAAACGCTTATTCATAACCCCAATGGGAAACTGCCACGAGTAACCATTGGCGTATTAATTGGCCCAATGATGGGAGCCAATGAAAAAACCATTGGCACCCAATAATGGACCATTATTGGTAAAGTCATGGGCTGTCCACGCCGATGCCAATGATTGGCAACCATCATTGGCAACCAATAATTATCCAATATTAAAAATTTTAATAATAATTTTAAAAAAAATTTATTTTTATTATTTTTTAATAGTTATTATTATTATTTTATTTTTAATAATTAAATTAAAATAAAAAAATGGTCATCAAAGTATTAGTGAAACCATTTCTTCCAAAAAAGAGTTTGTCTCAAATCCAATAAATAGGAGAGACATCGGGCAGAAAAAAATTTCGACAAGAAAAAAATTTTCGATCACTGCTTATATACCAATCTAATGGCACCTCAACTGCGAGAAACAGTTATGATGTTCGCCCTCCCTGTGTCGTCGAGCGAACTAAAGTCCAGAGCTGAGCCATCAGCGCAGCGCGGGAACATTTGAAAAATTTGATTTTATTAGATATTTTATTTTATAATTAACGAATTATTAAGTATGACATTATGTTATTAATAATTATTTATGACATTAATTATTTATTAAGTTAATTATTTGTCATATTTAAAATAAAATGAAATATCTAATAAAATCAAATTTTTCAAATGTTCCCGCGCTGGGCTGATGGCTCAGCTCTGGACTTTAGTTCGCTCAACGCCACAGGGAGGGCGAATATCATAAATGTTTCTCGTAGTTGAGGTGCCATTAGATTGGTATATAAGTAGTGATCGAAAAATTTTTTCTTGTCGAAATTTTTTTCTGCCCGATGTCTCTCCTATTTATTGGATTTGAGACAAACTCTTTTTTGGAAGAAATGGTTTCACTAATACTTTGATGACCATTTTTTTATTTTAATTTAATTATTAAAAATAAAATAATAATAATAACTATTAAAAAATAATAAAAATAAATTTTTTTTTAAATTATTGACTTTTTAAATTATTATTAAAATTTTTAATATTGGATAATTATTGGTTGCCAATAATTTGCCAATGATGGTTGCCAATCATTGGCATCGGCGTGGACAGCCCATGACTTTACCAATAATGGTCCATTATTGGATGCCATTATTGAAATTATATTGGCATCCCTGGCTCCCATTATTGGGCCATTAATACGCCAATGGTATTTTTCCCATTGGGACCCTAAAATGGAAATATGATTGTTTTACTTTCTAATGGAAAAATGGGGTCATTTGGCACCCCAGATTTGAAACGTGTGTGTAAGGTTTATATTTTACTGAAAACAACTTTTATATAGTGTTTTTTTCGTTTTTTAAAAAGGAAGACAATGGCATAATGCGTTTTCTAGTAAAGTGGAAAGAAATTATAAAAATGATGTAAAAACAAAAGAGGACAGGAAAAAATAAAATTTTTTGCAAAATTTATCTTTTTTTACAATTATTGCAGTTTCTCAACAATATGGCATTACTTGAAAATATAAATTTTTTTTAAAAATTAAGCCAGGAAAAATAAGGAAAATTGACGCGCCAATCACTTCCAGAATCATATCTATCGCTTTAACTCGCCTGAAACTCGCCGCACAGCACAATATCTTGTTGTAAGCTTCCCTTCAGTTTAAACCTAAGATTCGTAGCTTACAGCGTAAACTTCAGGTGAGGTGAAGGTGGTTCTCTGGATAATCAATTTTCTATGAATTTTTCTTAAACTTTGCATAAATATTCCTTTTTGTGTAATTTATAAGTGGTAAAAAACTCAGTACCTCTATCCATGGTAGAAACTGAGGTATTCGGGTTCAAAGTTGGAACAATTAACATAGGATTCCTATTCTAAACATGAAATAGTGATACATTAAATTTAATTTCTTAAAAAGTTTCCTATCAATTTTTTTTAAAAACTAGTATATTGTAGAATGGAATTAATAGAATAATATTAAAAAAATTAGTAGGGGTATCCATTCTAATTTTTGAATTACAATGTTTTAAAATAGAAAAGGTAGGTTATTTATACATTTTTAAACAGAGTCAAGTATATTACTCGCTTGAGAATGATAGCGAAAGCACGAAAGTGAAGTGAGCTGTTGATTAGTATAAACTACTCGCAAGGAACTGAGGACCACTGGAGCCGGAGAACCTCCTTTAGGTGAACTGCAAATGTCCTATCTACCATAAGCTGCAATATAAGATTGTAGTCAGCTTTCAGTTAAGCTTACTATAACCTTACTGTAAGCTTCCCGTATATTCACTGTAAGTTCCGTGTAGTCTTAATGTAAGCTTCTATGTAAAATTACTGTAAGCCTCATGTAAACTTCCTTTAAGCTTACACTACTGTTAACCCAAGTAGCACGTAATATTACAGCAATATTACCCGGTAACATTACTGTAATGTTACAGTGATATTAAAATGTCCGCCTCATGGTAATATTACCGGATAATGTTACTGTAATATTACACGGTAATATTACAGTAATATTATACCGTAATATTAAGGTAATAATAAACGAGAATATTGCAGTATTATTGAAAGAATATAATTTCACGAAAAAAATGTACCCAACCGGGGAATCGAACCCCGAACTCAAATCACACAAGTCCAGAGTTTTACCAACAAGCCACACTGACTTACAATATATTTATGATTGTGATGCTTTATGAGTAACTTAAATCAATCTGTAATATTACTGTAACATTACAGTAATATTACTCGGTAATACCACCATCAGGCGGACATTTTAATATCACTGTAATATTCAAGTAACATTACCGGATAATATTACTGTACTATTACAGTAATATTACGTGCTAGTTAAGAATTAATATTAATAAATATTATTTATTAATATTAAACTATTTTTTTCTCACCAGATTATATATATTGAGATGTAGGATATACAACCCTAACGGGAATAGTTGATTAAAATCTACTGCACAACAGTAAAAGCTATAATAAACTACTGCGCATGAATAACACAGCCCCACAAAAAAAAGTGTCATGTACTTTTGACCGGAATACCCTATCCCTATGTATTTTGACGCGCTGAACACGAATCCGAAGTCCGTTTTGCTCCATCACGTCAGGATTTTTTTCTAACCTCAAAAAACATGTCGGATTTTGAGAGATAGGCGATTTTTAAAAAAATTTATTTATTTACTTCAAACTTGGTATCTAGGGGTTTTTTGGGTCGCTGATTACGAATCTGACGTTAGATTTAAAAAAAAAAAAACGTGTTAAATTGTTTTCAAAGAACTACAAAACTGACAAGTTTCAAAAAAAACGGCGTACGGTACTTCCCTAGTGTTACTTGTCAGCAACATAGAAAACCTGTAGATACCAATTTTCATAAAAATCTGACAATTTTTTAAAAATAATTTCTTAATATTTAATCAGACATATCGAATTTTGGAAATCCGACATCAGATTCGTAATCAGCGACACAAAAAAACCCCAGATTCCAAGTTTGAAGTTAATACATCAATTTTTAAAAAAATCGCCTACTTCTCAAAATCCGACATGTTTTTTGAGGTTAGAAAAAAATCCTGACGTGATGGAGCAAAACGGACTTCGGATTCGTGTTCAGCGCGTCAAAATACATAGGGTTAGGGTATTCCGGTCAAAAGTACATGACACTTTTTTTTGTGGGGCTGTGTAATTGTTTAATTTATTTATTAACGTTTATTAATAATAATATAAGCTTACACGAAGTTTACAGAAAGTTTACGGGAAGCTTACAGTAAGGTTATAGTAAGCTTAACTGTAAGCTGACTACAATCTTACATTGCAGCTTACAGTAGATAGGACATTTGCAGCTCCCCCACGCAGGAATAGTAAAGAGACCGATCTTGCTGTAGTAGCGCTTCTGAAAATGTCCGAGAAACATGCACGATAAGTGCCAGTTTCACTGCATTCTACTCAACCACCAAAAGTAGTTGAGCATGCGCATTAGCCATGTGCTGTCTCTTTCTCTCGCAAAAAGTGTGCAAGTGATCTGGCTGACGTATATTTCTCAAGTCTTCCATGCGTGTTGTGATGAAGGGGTTATGTGTTATTGTTATGTTATTATTTTAATAATTATTATTAATGTTTATTTTAAAATGTCGTGCTGTGTGGCAGGATGTAAGAAAAATCTTTTTCATGATATACATAATAAATAATATGTTTGTAATTACTATGGCTCCATTAGTCTTTTAATAATTACTTCAATTTATTGACACTTTAAATATTCCAATAGCATACATTATTATATACTTACACATGATTTTGGAAATACAATATCGCACTGGTAAATAAAATTTCTGAAATAAACACTGAACACTAAGATTTTTTATGTGACATATATGTATATATCGCATAACCACACTTTTCATCTGTCAAAATTGAGGTCCAATGCGCATGCTCAACTACTTTGGCCAGTTGAGTACAATGCAGTGAACCTGGCACTTATCGTACATGTTTTTCTGACATTTTCAAACGCAGAGATCTGTCTCCTTACTATTCCTCCGTGAGCTCCCCATAACCTCACCTGAAGTTTACGCTGTAAGCTAACGAATCTTAGGTTCAAACTCAAGGGAAGCTTATAGCAAGATATTGTGCTGTGTGGGGATTGTCCTTTCTAAAAAATACATGATATAAAAAGGTCAAATGGATATATCGAAAACTCTCAAAAAATCGAACTTTTAATTAAAAACATTGAGAATATAAAATTTCAATAGAAGGGAGGGGTGCAGTTCCGAATAGCACATACCTCTGATTTCGATAAAACTTGGTATCCCTACGTAATTTGGTGCGCTGATTACGAAAATCATAGTGAAAATTGGCGGAAATTTAATTATCATGGTAAAAACCATAAAAAACACCATAAAATCATGGTTTTTTTCGATTATCTCGTAAAAAACAAAAAACTTCGAAAAAAGTTTTAGACGAAAGTTGTAGATCTCTAAAAAACACACATTTCATGTTTTATGCATTTTTTACCAAAAGTCATTATTTTTCGAGAAAAACGCAAAATAGTAAACACGGCCTTCGGCCGCGTAAGGTACTGCTCGCTTCTCTTTTTAAGAAATCTTGGCGAGAGGGGGTGGATGTGTCCGAAAGTAATTTGCAGAAATTATCATATTCACCATTACTCAGGATCCAACGAATTCCGCAAAATACTTTCGGCCATATCCACCCCCTCTCGCCAAGGTTTTTTTAAAAAGAGAAGCGAGCAGTACCTTACGCGGCCGAAGGCCGTGTTTACTATTTTGCGTTTTTCTCGAAAAATAATGACTTTTGGTAAAAAATGCATAAAACATGAAATGTGTGTTTTTTAGAGATCTACAACTTTCGTCTAAAACTTTTTTCGAAGTTTTTTGTTTTTTACGAGATAATCGAAAAAAACCATGATTTTATGGTGTTTTTTATGGTTTTTACCATGATAATTAAATTTCCGCCAATTTTCACTATGATTTTGGTAATCAGCGCACCAAATTACGTAGGGATACTAAGTTTTATTGAAATCGGAGGTATGTGCTATTCGGAACTATATCCGAAGGGAGAAATATATCTCTATATTAGAAATGTACAGGTGGAGCTGAAGTGTTGATTTCTTCAAAAATAAGCGCTAATATTTAAATTTTATATTGTACATAAATCATATTTATCAAAAACACAAACATTGAAAATATTTAAATTGCATATATACAAAAAATGAATCATTAAAACACTATTTTACACAAAGCGGAAATAAATTTCGAGTCTCATTTAAGTTTTTTTATTATGCTTTCAGTGAACAGCTGTTACGTTGTTGAAATGAACATAATCTATTCAATTAAAGCCACCTGATTGGTCGCAATAATTAGCGCTCGATAATTTTAAAATATGTAATACATCTTAATCACACTTACATAATTTATATTATTATTATTTATATTATTATAGCGTAAATCACTCTCTCTTATTTCACATTCATAAATTTTTTCTTTACATTTTGAATCGATATAGGATAAAAAAGCAAGATGAAATCAAATCATTTTTTAAAATGAAATGAATAAAATGGAATTTGAAAAAGGAACAGAAGCAACGAAGACGGCCGTCAGAGGCGCTAGTCAGATATATAAAATGAATTATGGTTACGATCCCAAACCAAAAACACCAGTGGTTAAGTCGCGATCGCACTTTAAACTTCGCGTGGGGTTCAAAACCACCCCAGTTTTCCATTCTAGGATTAAATTAAATCAACATTAAATTAGTTTTTGCATTGATTTTTAGGTTATGGACACTCAACGCCAGTTACGATAGGAGGAAAGGCATTCTGTATGGCTTATGCAATGGTTGGAATTCCTCTGGGATTGGTCATGTTTCAAAGTATTGGTGAACGTTTAAATAAATTTGCTTCGGTTGTCATTCGAAAAGCAAAAACTTATTTAAAATGTCAACGCACTGAAGCGACGGAAATGAACCTTATGTTGGCTACAGGAATGTTGTCAAGTATTATTATTACGACTGGTGCAGCTGTATTTTCTCGTTACGAGGGTTGGAGTTACTTTGACAGCTTTTACTATTGTTTTGTGACACTTACCACCATAGGTTTTGGAGACTATGTCGCTCTCCAGGTTAATAATAATGTATTAATTAATCTGTATCAATTTTGTTAATGCAAAAAAACTAACAAGAATTTTAAATATCAAAAACCAGTTAAAAGTGTTTTTTGTTTTATTTTGAACTGCAGATTTTCATAAAAGTTTTGAAAATCACGGGAGTTTTTTTGTCATAGTTGACCTGGACTTACTCACTTACAATTATAAACCAAATTAATGTTCACAAATAAGTCTTGTGCACAAAACCTACTTTGGAAATTCTAATTATCTATTATAAATCTATTATAAATAAATTAACGTCTTCTTCTTTAAACATAAAAATATTAGACAATTTCTAACTAAAGTTTATTAATCAAATTTTAATTTTTTCAGAATGATCATGCACTTTCAAATAAACCAGGTTACGTGGCTTTAAGTTTGGTTTTTATACTCTTTGGTCTCGCAGTTGTTGCTGCTAGTATTAATTTACTAGTTCTTCGGTTTATGACAATGTAAGTGAATCAAATTCAATATTATTATTTGATATTTTATAAAAAAGATTAGATGCAATAATACTCTGTTCTAAGAATAATTGATTAAACGCGTAAGATTACACATGCGGACATTTATTACTGCGTGGGTGTTAATTTTGACATGACTATGTTAATTTTTTAATGAATTACAACTTTTTCTTCTAAATTTTCCGTATTTATAATTTTAATAAGTGAAAAGGTGAAATAAATCTCAATGGCGACTTTATTATTTGATGTCTATTTTATGGAAGAAATAGTTTAAACGAGCAATTATTCAAATAAAAGCATTAAAACGAAGACAAAATAATATAAATTGATTTTATTTTTTTAGGAATGCAGAGGAAGTACGTCGAGAAGATAATGAATTGCAATCAGCTTCTCATCACGTATTAACATTAGACGGGGAAGTTGTTGCTGTGAATGGGAAAATACTTGCTGGTCACGTGCCAATGATTAATGATACTGATGATTGCGTGAGTGTTTGCTCATGTACATGTTTGGGTGCAACTAATTCCGAATTCTTTGATTCTTCTGGATATCAGGGTTATAGACCTCCTTCAATTCCTGCCAGTCTTCGAGTAAAACGAGCATCCGTCTGATGGAAGGAGTTCCGAAGACGCAGTTTGCGTCACCGACTTTCTAGAGTTGATAGTCGTGAACTTCTTGGGATTGATGTCTAATTATTTTATTTTTCTAGAATATATATTAATTATTTTCTTTTCAATATGTCTAGGATGTCATAATTTTCTGACTTCTCTTAAACAGATAACTGAAAATTGAGTAAAACAAGATTTTTATTTCGAAACTCGTATCAAATCTTTAATAAATATGAAAATTTATGTTTTGAAAAAATCTTCAGATTTGAAATACTATATATTGATGGAAATAATAATGTATAATCGTTAAAGTTCCAGATATATGTATAAATAGCTGTGATGTATATAAATTTCAGGGTTGAATCTTAGAATCTCGGAAAGTATTAAAAACATAGTTAAGAAATTCGGAACAAACCGAATTTTTTTAACACTTGAATATTAGATGAATAAAATTTAAAAAAACAATGAAGATAATCATAATTTTGTAAAAAGATTGTATACATTGAATGACGTATGTTTGTATGCGAAATTACAGTTGATAAATTTTCATACACGTTTGTAAGCCTTTAATCCACAAGTAGTTGCGCGAGGCGCTAATTTTATGTCTTTCAATTTTTATTAAATACATAGAAAAAAAATTTTAAATCAACTTTTTAATACGTCAATTTTACAGAAACAATTGACACATGTGGATTTTTTGCTAATCAGGCATAAATTGCCGTATTATAAAGCAGATTTAAATGTATTAAATCATAAAGATAATAGAAATTTTGTTTAATAATGCGAATTTACGTAGAAATAAGTCATCAAAATGAAAAAGATTATTGTAATTCCAATTTGCATGGCAGTGAATTAGAGTCTTTTATATCTTTTTGCAATATGATGCAGACCTTATTAAATGTACTCTTCCTTACACTAGAATATCTCCACAAACCTTTATTCCACAGTAGGGTTATTTGGGGTAAATATTAATTTGTTGTTGCATTAAATTGTTTTTCGACTTCCTTAAAGCAATTTTATGCGGTAGTAGAAAATATACATGAGTTTGAATCGCATAAAACTAAATGTTTACATTTATCTCGAGTTTTTACGCTTACTCTAAAATTTAGGAGTAAATATAAACAGACCGACAATAATAACTACAATTATAAAAAATAAAAATCCTATTGAAGTTTTTTAATTCAGTTCCTTTTTGATTTTCAATGATAAAAATTTAATCGTGTATTTACTTACGAAACTAAAAATGAAGCTCAAACATTTACAGTTGACATTTATCCCTTGTTTACAGTTATTCCAAATGACCCTACTACAAAATTTCATTGTTTCTTCATTTCTGGCATCTCGTATGGTTTTTAGAAAGTTTTATAGTTTATTGTCATAACATTCTTTTTGGAAGTTTTGCACATATATGTTATTGGCCACCCAACTGAAAATTCTCACATAGGCTCTCATACAAAATCGTATACGTATTTTGAAAGTGAATTTAAATAGGAAAAAACGTAGGAATTATCATATTAATCCACATTATATTTTAAAATCCCATATGGCTTCCTAAAGAAGAACCCATGTGAGTTTCCATATACCACCCTATGTGGACATTTTCAGTAGGGCGTTAGCCAAAAGCCAAGTCGTTTAACCAATTATTATCGGCAAGTACTTAAAATATTTTTACTGTGCACATTTCTGACTGAATTAGTTTATAATAACTTGAGTTATTTAAAGCAGATTAATAAAGAAATACTATTTTTTACAAAAATACACTATATCATAATCAAGTTTAGTTTTACATTTCTTATGACCACAATTAAGCTCACTGAAATAACTAAAAAATTCTAGCCTATTCCATAGAATATATTTTCATGAAACTTGCTCATGTATGTTGCTAATTGTGGGCGTAAAAATTGATTTTTGGGATTGAATGAGTTAATTTTTGATAGTAAAAATGTAATTGATTTTTAATATAACGCAACAGGTTGGATTAAACTAAACTAATAAAAAAGGTTGAATTGTTAACGTTAATGTTAGAAATAATTAAACAAGATATAAATTTTATTCTGAAGAATATTATTTTTGCAGAATAGTAATATAATATTATCTTAATTTTGCTGAAGAAAATGGTACAGAATATTAAATTTACAGAATATTCATTTGTATGAATTTTCGTTTTACAGAATTTCAATTTGTGCCAAATGTTTTTTTGTAGAATATTAATTTTGCAGAATACTAGTTCAAAATAATCTTAATTATGCAGATAGAAGATTAGAAAGAATATCAATTTAACAGAATATTCAACTGTTCGAATTGGGATTGGTCAATTTTAAACAAATAGTCCTTAGTCTCCTTCTAGCAGACCAGGCAACTTGAGAGACCTACGAAGCAATAACTCAACTTAAGATATAAAGAAGAAAAAATGACACAATTAGTCAAAACCACGATCATTACACAGCGGCAATCATATCGATGTGATTATGTCACATTTATTAGAGAATCACGTACTCTGATCTTCGATATAAATAAAAATAAAGCAGTTGTTTAGATATTAAGCCTCAAATTTTTTGTATTTTCTCAGTACTTTGTAAGAGTGGACTCTGACCATATGTTTATAAATAAATAATAAAGATTCCATTAAATAACTATTACACAAATTGAATTTACAATTAATTAATTTTCATTTAAATACAAATTTTGTAACATTGATAATCGGTTGGAAAAAAATGGAAATTCTGTAAAATGAAAATTAGAAAAAAAGAAAATTAACAAATGAGTATTTTTTAAGATTAAAAATCTGTACAATTTTTTCTGCAAAATTAAGATTACTATTCTAAAAAATTAGGCTATAGTGCTTATTCATGCGTCCTTAGATGTTCCATTAAATTCTCCCTTCTTCGGTTGCCTTTCCTGCATCTTTGCACTTTATTTAAATACTAACATAAATCAACAAAATTTTAATTTATTATCTAATTTCTAAGTTAGTATCAAAGACATAAGAATTATCATACTAGATCATATTATTAAACTCTTAAAATACCTGGATATTCAACTGACATCCTAGAGATATCCATCGATCTTCAGCGATTCAAATTATTTCAAAAGTTCTATAAAGGTCCATAGATATCCTGAAAACATCATGTGAATAGCTAAACCGACGAAATACCTGTAAGTATTTTTAGGATGTTCTTATTATCTTTTCAGGTTTTATGAGAGAAACAATGTTATACTGCGTTTTTGTAGAGAGATATTACTAAATCGTGTAAATTTGATTGATTTGAGAACAGTAAGTCGTTTTCCGTAGTTTCCGATGCGCTATATGCAAGTGAGAATATAGCAGAGCGATTATGATATCAATATTTTGTGAGAACTTAATATTATTAATTATATTATTATTAATATTACGTAAATATGGAGAAATGACAAAAGATTATGTTTATTGATACACAAGTGGCGGTCACTGAAGCTATCTATTGACAGTTGGCAATATAGTGGAAGTTTAATATTGGAACATTCTGGAACATAGTTGATGACTTTAATCTGCAAATTATAAAATAATGGAAAATATGCGGCAAATTGTTTGTAAGCATTAAAAATGTAAATATAATAAAAAATCCACACTCTATAAAGTTTGCTCTACAAGAAAAACGTAAAATAATGAATGTAAAAACTATCAGTGCATCCATAATTATTTTAGACTGATTGTGCGTATTTTACAAACACAGAGATCTTCTGGAACAATTTGCTTGCTTTATTTCCAGGACCGTCGGAAAGAATTTTTCTCAGGTGGGGAGTAATTTGACTTGTGTTAAGAATTTATTTAATTCATTAAATAAATTTAAAAATTTACTTCTTTTACGAAGCTGTAAAACAAATATGTACATTGTACATCCATACTTTTTTTACAAGGGCAAATGTAATCTGTCATAGAAAGATCTTGACCGTTCCGCAGTTAAGGAACTTCTTCTTTTGTTTTCCGGTATAATTTTACTATCTCACTTAAACTCCAAAGTATGGAATTCTACACAAAAAAATTTCCCAGGTATGGAGTATTCCTTCACTCCTCACTATCTCCGCCGGCCCTGTCTATTTCTGAAAAAATGTATTTCATGATTAATTATTATAATACATCAGCATTGACGGAGAGGTTTTCACCCTGAAATCGTTTTAAGGACCCTAAAAAATGACTAATGTTTTAATCCACTCGACTATGTACTTCAAGTTTGTCAAGTTTCATTTGAATTGAGAGGTGTCATTTGAGTTTTATTTATAAATATAGAGAATTCTAGTGTTATCTCTTTAAACAATGTCAGTTACAAGCTTATGCTTCTTCTCCACATAATTATTTCTTATTAATTAACTTGAGACACAAAAATAGTCATCTTTAAATATTATTTGTAACAATACGTAACAATACTTTTTTATACCATAAGTGAACTTGAAATCCGAGGAATTGAAAATACCTGAATTTAATTTTTAACATATCAAATGTTCTATATTATTCGAAATATATTTATATTCTATTTTACCTAGTGAAATTATACCATAACGGCATCACGATATTCGGAATATGCTACGGATATTCTAGATGTAGGCTGATTCTATTCTGAAGGCCCTTGAAAATTAGAACATCCCAGTCGAAAATCCTACGCTTTATAAAGCTGAGTAAAAAGCCCGTTTAAAGCGTTAGAATAGCTACTAAGAGGTTTTGTTTTCCGTGCGCTCATTGGTCAAAAGTTTGTCATTTAAAATGATGCATTCTTTTTTAACCAATAAAAAAGCTTTCGCTTAATTTACACTACTCGATGGCTTTCCGGACGTTCTGAATAAATTTTAGATTTTCGACTGGGATCTATAAGATATCCAGGATATCTTGAAATATCCGTTGTTGTAAGGAGATTTATTTTTTAAGTCTTCAAAATCGTGCGACTACTGGAAGATTAAAGCTATTGTTAAAAATTGTCCAGTTGCTACGTAAATTATTGTCATAAGCTATGTAAATACAACGCTAAAATATTATTTCCCTCTGTAAGAAATAATAATTATAATATAATAAAACAAAAGACTGAAAAATGTATCTGTTTTCTTAAAATATAAAAATTGTAATTTTTATATTTTGTATAATAATGTAATGTGTTGTTCGGTGTCATAATGGTTTTCGTGTTTTTTTAAATATGAATAATCAGAAAGTTCTCTTTTCTTTATAAAAAAGGAGACTACAACAGAAAGAAATATACTCAAAATGTAAAAAATTATCCACTCGTGGAGAATCAGTCGGGTGCAAGAAATAAATGAACATATTTTTATCAAGAAATATTTCAAAAATAAGATGTAACTGCCCGTAAAAGCAAAAGAAAGGGATTATTTTTGATGCTCCACGGTGAAAGGTACTTATTGCCGCAAATACATTAGGCTCATTTTACTTTATGCGTTCACAGAGATATGAGCTTAATGTATTTGCGGCAATAGATACCTATTACTGTGGAACCTCTCGATTTGAAGCAATTAAAATAACAATAATCAATTAGATTCATTTTCTTTTAAGAAAATTTCTTTCTTTTTAATATAGTTTTTTTTAAATCGTGTACCCCCTGTCGCGGTCACACGAATTTATCTGGAGGGCTGAAATATGGTACACATATGTATTTTCGCGTGTAGATTACAGGAAAAATATAGCGAACCTGATAGGAATTGATTATCATAACGTTGTCAAGGAAAAACCATGAATTTTTAAGAAAAATGACTATGAAATGCCCATGAGGGCTGATCCATATGGCGAATCCATGAGGGCCAACGTAGGTGCCCCGCATGGATCGCCAATATCGCCCCTCATATACTTTAGTATATTTTACTTTAGAAATATGCAACCCGATTTACAGAGAAGATTGAAAAAAGCATTGAAGAGGAGTCATTTTTAAATTTGCCACTTGAAATTGGATGCGCGCGATGATTTAAGTCATCGCATGATAGCAGAAAAGGCATGCTGGAAACCATTTTGGTTATACGAAATCAAAACATAACCCCAAATAATCATCGTATTTGACTTTATTAATAAAAAACAAATAGAAATAAAAAATAAATAGTCATTAAAAGATTACAATAATTATGAAACAGTTAAAATAAAAATTTAGTGAAAAAGTGTTTGGCAATTTTATCTACATAGTGTGATGTGGAAGAGAAATATTATGTTTATTATTATTATTTATTTTTAATTATTTTTCTATTTACCACGATTATCCATAGACATATAGAAATGGACCGCTCAAATATTAAAATTTTAAATTATTAAATTTTTTAAACTATTTTCATTTTTAATTTTTTCTTACAGAATTTAAATAAGTACAAATATTAAAGTTTTAAATTTTTGAAATATTTTAATTTTTTATAAAAAATTTGAATAAGAATAAATTTTCAGTGTACTATAATTATTTATTATAAACTTTATACAATGTATAAACAATAACAACACTTTACCACCATTATTTCTAAAAACCACTTATTTACAATCAAAAATTAAATCAACATTTTTCACACTTGTATCTTTGGAAGATACCATAGATACATGTACAAGGTACTATTGCTACAAAGCGCAGCCCTGGAGCGCTGACGTCACAAAATGCTTTAACCAATCAAATTTTTCTAGAAAGAGAGAGTATAGGATAAGTTGAAATTTTCTCTCTCTCACTCATCCATATCCCGTCTCTCCACAGTGGTGAGCCGTCCTAGTTACTAGTTAATGATCCGCGATCATAGGTTAAAATATCATGCCTCTCCAAATTGGTTGTTTTTTCTTTGCGTTTTGTGTTTTGAAAAGGTGGTTCTCGCACATCTACGTAAGGCATCTTTATATTTATCCCTGGTTTGAAACCCATATCTCTCCTATTAGGGCCCTCGTTTTCCTCAGCTGTTATTATTTTTCGAGGAATTACTTGTTTATGTCAAGGTTCTATTACCGTTTCATTTAATTCTATTTCTTCCAAAACCGTATTGGGTATGTAAGGTGTAGATTGAGTGTTCGGTCTCGCCCTTTGGATGGGTGTGTCAAAAGTGACCGTTTTCTTGTTGGTTATAGTGTCTTTTACGAATTCAGTAGTTTCACTTTCCGAATTTCTACCATCTACTATGCTTTCTCTTGGCTGATTTATTTGTTCTGTAATTTCTTGTAAATCTGCTATAATTTCATCTATTGATCTAACCTCATTTCGTTCTGTTTCTTCCTCTTCCGCAATTTCTTCCTCACTCCCTTTTTCCCGATTAACATTTTCTACTTCTTCCTTATTTTTCTCACCGAATTCATCGTCCCAAATATATGACTGGTGACCAGCCATTGATAAGTCAAAACGCCTGATTGATTCTCTAATACTATCTACCATTTCTTTGTCCCGTATTTACGGATTATTTCCTACTTCGCAAATGGTTATGTCTTCTCTGCCTTCGTCTTCTGACGTATCTACTGGTGGGCTTAAATATACCGCGGTTTCTCCCCTGGTAATAGGCTGTTCTCTCTTTTTAGCGTCGTCGCTATCGCTAGATTCATCATCCGTATCCTGCGCGTTGATGTCATTTAAAGAGGGTAATACACTGTGACTTTTTCTCAAAATGGGAATGTCTTCTGCTTCTACTCGAATTTCAGATTCTGAGCCTGACTCCTCGCTATCTGAAACGAGTGTATCGTATCTAGTTTTAGCGCTTTGTTCTCGCGTGATTACGGGCTGTGTTTTAGTTCTCGGTCTTAATCCGGATGCAATCGGTGCTAAGTCCGTAATCGGTACTGCTTCCTTTATTTTAGACGTTCCTTTTGGTCTTCCCCTTTTAGGTTTATTGTCCGACGCACCTACTGGATTAGCGTCTACATTAGTGTCTGATTTGACCCTGCCCCTAAAACGATTCTGCTCCTTTGCTTGCATTCAAAGTCATACTGATAATCCTGTAATCTTAATAGCCATTTTTTCATACGCGACGTTGGTTTCCTAGCTTCATTTATGATCTTTAGAGGTTCGTGATCACATGCGAGTATGAATTTTCTACCGTATAAATATGGCGTAAAATTTTCCTATGCGTAAATTACAGCTAAACATTCTTTCTCCGTAGGATCGTACCTTTTTTCGCCCCCACTACTGTCCTAGAGAAGAATGCAATGGGTAGGTCCATAACACCTTTATTTTGCGTTATTAATGCACTAATCGCATGTTCGCACGTGTCCGTAGTAACCTTAAATGTTTTTGAAAAATTCGGATGCTGCAAAATTGGGTTTCTACATAGTGCCCTTTTTAATGCGCGTAAACTTTTCTTTTTTTCTGAATCCCATTTAAAAGTCTTGTTTTTCTTAGTAACTCGTACAAAGGTTTAGCGATTTTAGCATAATTTTCTATAAATTTGCGATAGTAACCTGTGATCCCTAAAAATTCACGTATAGTTTTCTGCTTTTTAGGTGTAGAGAAATCCTTTATTGACTCTATTTTCTTGGGATCTGCCTTTATTCCGTCTTCCCCTACTATATGTCGTAGATAAGCTGCCTCTCTGCGTAAAAATTAGCATTTTTCTGGTTGTAGTGCTAGTTTAGCGTAACTCAATTGTTCTAATAGGCGAATAATAATTTTATCGTGTTCTTCTAATGTAGCCGAAAATACTATTATGTCATCCAGATAAACAAACAGTTCTGGCCCTTGTAATCCCGTCAGAACATTATCCATCAATCTCTGAAAAGTGGGAGCCGCATTTTTAATTCCCTTAGGCATTCTTTTATATTGATAATGTCCCCTACCCGAGGAGAACGCTGTTTTGTGTTGGTCTTCTTCAGCCGTACCTATCTGATGATAACCCATAGCTAAGTCAAAAACTGAGAAGTATTTAGCGCCCCCTAAACGTTCCAAGATCGAACTAATCAGGGGCATTGGATAACTGTCCCCTTCCATCTTCTTATTTAGAACTCGGAAATCGATGACTAATCTGTACTTTTTATTCCCCTCTTTATCTGCCTTTTTAGGCACTATCAACACGGCTGAATTGTAACTTGAATTGGAGTTTACTATTAGATTGTCCCCATACATTTTCGCTAGTAGTTTTGCCCCGGCCTCCTCATATTCAGGGGGTTGTCTATATTGCCTGCACTTTATAGGTTTTTCATCTGAGAGTGGAATATAATGCTTAACTAAAGGGGTGACAGGTAACTTATCTCTTGGAAACCAAGAATCTGTCTTGTCCTAGCCGTACCCATTTCTTTACATATCTAACTTCTTCATTTAAATTTTCGAAATCCATTTTCACAAGTATAGATTTGATTCACTGTTCTTTCATTTCGGCCTGATTACCCGTCAGATCATTAAACGTTTCTTCTTCCTCACCTACATAATCGAAAGGGAACAACTGTTCTGGAGGTATAGCTATTTCGATATCGCTTTCCGTTGTATTGATTGCCATAACACAGCCCCACAAAAAAAAGTGTCATGTACTTTTGACCGGAATACCCAAACCCTATGTATTTTGACGCGCTGAACACGAATCCGAAGTCCGTTTTGCTCCATCACGTCAGGATTTTTTTCTAACCTCAAAAAACATGTCGGATTTTGAGAAGTAGGCGATTTTTTTAAAAATTGATGCATTAACTTCAAACTTGGTATCTGGGGGTTTTTTGTATCGTTGATTACGAATCTGAAGTTAGATTATGAAAATCCAAAATGGCGGATCCAATATGGCGGACGAATTTTGAAAAAATTTTAAGATTTACTTCAAACTTGGTATCTAGGGGTTTTTTGGGTCGCTGATTACGAATCTGATGTCAGATTTTTATGAAATTTGGTATCTACAGGTTTTCTATGTTGCTGATAAGTAACGCTAGGGAAGTACCGTACGCCGTTTTTTCTGAAACTTGTCAGTTTTGTAGTTCTTTGAAAACAATTTAACACGTATTTTTTTGTTTTTTTAAATCTGACGTCAGATTCGTAATCAGCGACCCGAAAAACCCCTAGATACCAAGTTTGAAGTAAATAAATTAATTTTTTTAAAAATCGCCTATATCTTAAAATCCGACATGTTTTTTGAGGTTAGAAAAAATCCTGACGTGATGGAGTAAAACGG